GGCGACTGGTAGATGGTACCGCCATCGCGAGTGCGCGAGCTCCTATCAGAAATTCGTTGCGCCGCCCTTGGGGACAAAAAACGGTGAAAGCTAACGTACGCAACCAGAGGGCAGCACACGATTCGATCGCGCGATCCTGCCCGTGAGCAATCTCCCAACTCATCTCTGTACTCAACGCCTCGACCCGTAGCTTGGCGCTTGGCTGCTTGGGACGCGCGAAGATTTCTAGGAACGATCGCATTCGACAGATTCGCTGCATGCGAGTTCCGTATGCGACATCGACGCGTGCCCCAAAGCTTCGTATCACGTCGACTTCGGGGCAACAATGTACTTAGAGTAAAGAGGGCGCCACGAGTGTTCTTCCCTTACCATCAAAAGCGTGCAGTGTTGGTAAGCGTAGGTAAGCCTCCACCGTCAACTGCCGCATGGTATTACCGTCACGGGTACGTGTGCCGCCAACGATGACTGGTAGATGGCACCGCCATCGCGAGTGCGCGATCCCCTACCAAAAATTCGTTGCGCCGCCCTTGGGGGCAAAAAACGGTGAAAGCTAACGTACAAAACCAGAGGGCAGCACAGGATGCGATCGCGCCACTCTGCCCGTGAGCAATCTCCCAACTCATCTCTGCTTGGAATGAAACGCTATTCTCATCTTTCCTGGTTCGTCCAAATTTTATCATTCCGCGATCGTTCGCGCATGCGCCGTAATGACCCGCGAGTTTTGAACGTAGCGGCGAGGAGGGTTGAAAGCCGATTACCATAAATTTATAAAAACTTCCAAAACTTTTTAGACTTTCAGTTTCCGTCATTTATTCCCTTTAATAAAGATTCATAATCCAATTTAATCGCACTCCCTCGTAGTTGAACTAACCTCTTATCAAAATAATGTTTATCCATACGGTGGTAAAGTCGTTCGATCAGGTTCGCCCCGATTCTATCCATCTAAATGCATCTTGGTCAGGAATCTTGACAGGTAGCCAGGTCATTAACCGGTACAATCGACATTTAACGAAGCCATGGATTAGTCACTTAGTCACACGTAAAACCAAATGCACCGTATCGCACATTCCTTTATACTTACTCCTCCCAAGCAGGTGTAATTGTAGATGCACATACAAAACAGTAAACTTTTATTCTAGAAAAATAACAAATAACAACGCTCGCTAAATTGTAGTGACAAAAACACATACACCATGTAACATTTGTTTTTTCCTGTTTTTCTTTTCCTTCAGAGATAACAGTTCTTTTTTTACCATTTACTTCATTAATTTCCTTTTTCCAAGTAGCTCTGACAGTTCACATCAGCAAGATGGCCGCCTCGAGCCGTCGCTCGACGATTGTACATAAATGACCGAGTTGGTGGTGCCAGAAGGGCGTACCGTGTCGTTACCTCCGAGGAACTGAAAGCGACGACGCTTCGCACATGGACTTTCGCGATCCACGAATGACACGGATAAGAAATCTTTCCCGGACGTCGAGTTCCCCGCTTTTGATTGCCGCTCTCTTCCGATCCAAGATGGCGGCCGTCGAGTCGCGCCTGGGGGGTCGATTCCTGTAACCTTGACGAGAGTGCTCCCTTCTCGCGGTATCACCTCACGTGAGTTCATTCGCCCGACTCTCCGAGTGAAAACGTGAAATCTCTAGCCCGAACGCCTAAGCTCTCGGAGTTTCTCGTCGAGTAGTCTCACGCGAAGCATCTCACATTTCGACCACGGCAAAAGTCACGTAATCGTAGGTGTTTACTTTTAGAATTTTCACCAGATTCGAGGTACAGAATCAACCCCCGTCGATTCGAATACACCGAGACCCGGCTCGATGACGTCGAGTCTCGTCCTTATAGCGAGCGACAGTCATAACGCCCGAAAAACCCGAGTTTAAACATATATATGATAGGTACGAGATGACACCAGCTACCTTCGCTGAAGCGTAACGACGTAATATCATAATTAATACCCTCCCAGTAATACCGACCGGCCTCCTCCTCCGGGTGACCCGCGCTACCCCGAAACGTCCGAGCTTCGCGAGTCCTTCGTGAGAAATCCTAGCAATTCTCTGGCATTTATGTGCGTTTCTTCTTCTTCCTTTCTTCCCTATATCGTTCGTCACACACTCTGCGCGCGCAAAGGCCGAGCGGCGTCGGCCTAAGTAGCTTGGCTGCTTTTCGCTCGCTTCCCGTTAGAACTCTCTCTCCTCCGAGAGACTTCGAATGCTTCGCGAGGTTAACCGCGAATCGCGCCCTCGAATTCTCTAGTCCGTGCTCCCCTTTCGGCATGCTCCAAAGTATGTCGCGGCGAGCTCGAATCGCATTGTGTAGCCCCCTACACAACGAGTTCCGATTACTTCTCCCGTTTGTCGCATGGCGCTGGTAGTTAAAAGCGGATCTTGTGTTGCTGGATTTGGTCGTAGATCTCCGGAGTTAGGAGCTGGTACCCCGTCTTCGGGTCGAGGTAGTAAATCTTGTCTTGCAGTTTCCGGGGATCGTATCCCTCCTCTTGCAAGTCCTTCTTCTTCAGCTTGAATGTCCCTGGAAGGAGGTTCTCATTATTTACACGCGACAAGATAGGCATAGACCACGCAAGCGGCGTTTACTTTTTCATGTTTCAAGGTGAAGTGAAACCCCTTTCAAATCAGTCAATTCGAATACAACACTTTTCTTTAAGGGTATTGTCCTGACACATTCAAAATTTGGATTTTTGGAAACAATTTTTTAACTCAGCCCAGACCAGAACCAAAATGGCGTCGAGCTCTCATATTTCGATCAATGTACAATTATCGAAGGCTCTGATATGAGAAACGAAAGAGTCAGGACAATTTTACGAGAATTTAGAACACTCTGGTAATTGATAAACTCGCATTTTAACGGGATAAAGGCAAAAAAAGTGTTGTATGCGCTTTTATGCTAAAACGATGGTAATACGAGGTCTCGGAGTGAAAATTTAATTGACCTGGAAATCACAGATGGCGCAGTGTGTCCCTCTACAGTTAATTAGGCCTCCAGAAAGCATGAATTCAGAGGATTTCTGGAGTTTTACTTCGATTTCTTGATATCTATTGTACGAAAACGACAGGTGGAGTATGCCATTTTGTACAATGTCGAATTATATTCGACATTGTACAAAATATAAAAACGAACGTCGGCAACGTAGAGATTTAGAAAAATTTTCTTTATCGTCCTCGAGCAAGTTCCTCGACGTGTTTCACTTCACCTTAATTACGCCCATCCAAACATCTGCTGTATGCCACTTTCAGTGACATTTTGAGAATATTTTCGAATCGCCCTCGCTTACCGGTAAGATCGATTTTCGTTAACGTTCTAACAAAGAGCGGCCTAGCATAGGTCGGTAGTTGATCCTTAATTTGAGGAGCTAATTTGCTAATGTCCAAGGTGCCATTAGGGTCGTAAATCGCAGCCATTCCAGCTTTACCTTCCGTCCCAGAAATCTGAAACATTCCCACGTGTCAATAAGGTCATCCAACATAAACGTTTAAGATACTCGCAACGAAAGTTTATTTTTCACTCACCTCTACCCCGTAAACTACGCAATCTCTGTAATTAACGAGATTGCTTACGACGGCCTCCACTTCCGACGTAGAAACGTTTTCACCTTTCCACCTGAACGTGTCGCCTGTCCTGTCTTTAAAGAACAGATATCCCAGCTCGTCCGCCACGAGGATGTCACCTGAAATAAGATTCCTAGATGATCGCCATTGGAATTTCCCCCCCGCGGGATATATTTCACCCCACAGCGGAAGACAATCCTTCATGAATTAATTCCTCGTCATACCGGATATGAAAGCCGAGTCTCCCTTCGTGAATACATCATGAACGACCTTGCTTTTCGACGCCTCCTGGTTAACGTAACCGAGAAAAGCTCTGGACGGGTTGTTGGGTATTATCTTCCCAATGAAGACGCCTGGCTCGTCTGCAAGTAAATAAATATTTATTACCACCACTCTCCCATTTATTTTCTAACCATTTCTCTCTCTCAATAATCTGTACTCACTTGGTTCGCAGATTTGACAAAGACCTTTGGAATTTCTAATAGGCACCCCGTCCGAGTCCACCTTGATAATGGATATCGGATAGACAGAAGGAATGATACGGGACACGAAGCCGATCGCACCAACCGTGCTGTCAACGTTCACTGAAATTTCCCAAAGAACGAGAAATCAAGACAACGTTTTATTTCGGGGATAGGATCCCATCCAAGGGGGAACAATTATTTGCTACGAGAGCATCTTGTGACGCCTGGACCGAATAAATTGTACAATTGTTTCCCAGCCTCACCGATATTGGCATTGCCCTCAGTAGCACCATAAAACTCCGCCACTTGCGGGATCTTGAATCTCTTGACGAATTCCTTCCATATCTGAGGCCTCAAACCGTTTCCAAATATGACCCTGACCTGGTGCTGCGTGTCCTCAGGCTTCGAAGGCACAGCCAGGATGTATCGACACATCTCTCCGATGTACTGTGCCACCTGGAAGTGAAAATCATCTATGAGAAAGACAGGTCTCTCAACATTTCCCACGAAGCTTGGAGAACTTTGTAGCCACTTGAGCATGCACTTGTCACACGTGACGCCGAGTATAAATATTAATACAAGAGAAATGGTTAACTCAGTGAGAGCAACATTCCTTGACTTTTGTCCACGTTAACCATTGTCAGAGATGTGCAAGGACAGTTCTTTTTTTTCTCTCTCGTTCATACCCACGTCTCGATCGTCCTTATCGTTACTTTTTATCCGATCGAATAGTGTAGTTGTTAAAAAAGAAGAAAGAAAAAAAGAGGAAAAATATTGTACCACCACCAGCGTGGCTACAACAAATAGGCGCAATCATATCATTCCTTTTTCCCCGCTCACCGTGCACTTGTACTTCACGCAATCATTGAAGTACGCGCTGGCCGAGAATTTTTTCCTAATTACAGTTGTGCCGCCGTGCAGCAAAGCTTGACCTATGGACATGACACCACCCGCGGTGTGGTACAAAGGTAGCGGCGTGTAAAATCTGTCGGAACTGCGGAATCCTGCTAGGAAGTGGATACCACTGGCGATGAACATAAATCTGAAATGAAAATTACGGGCTCGATGCAGGCTGCTAAAAGGAGGGGCAGGGGGGGAGAGTATTAAAGGGGGACACCACCACCTCGTCGCCGTTCCGAGGAACGACATTAAGGGGAGGAGGTACTCACGGATACCCCGCGTGTATCGGTAGCCCTATCACCGTCAAAAACAATATATAATACAGTACGAGATAAAGTAACCGAATTTTCCTCAAAGTAAGACATTCTCTACGGTCTAACCGTGCTCGGGATTATTTAATAAAAGCGCCTCAACATTTATACCGAATTTCTTTAATCCACTTCGCGTCAAAATGGCGTCCTTCTAGATCTAGAAGAAATTAATTTTAGTACAAATAATACGAGATAATACGAGACGAGAAAATAGTACGAGATAAAGTAACCGAATTTTCTTCAAAGTACGACATTCTCTACGGTCTAACCGTGCTCGGGATTATTTAATAGAAGCGCCTCAACATTTATACCGAATTTCTCTGATCCACTTCGCGTCAAAATGGCGTCCTTCTAGATCTAGAAGAAATTTATTTCAGTACAAATCTGTATTAGAAAAAGTGCATAAAATATCGAAGGAATTTCAACAGTGTGATAGACTCAGATGTGGAGGCAGCTGTTATCGTTATCACCGCGAAAACTGTTCGGCATGTAATAATCGCGTCAGGATAAAATCATGTAGAGGAGCAACAGTAGCACGCTTACTGGGAGGTGTTCTCGTGTCAGCTAGAGCTACAAGAAGGTGCAGGGGTTGATATGGTGACAAGGCATCAGTCTACCATTAGTTTGCCAGGGATAGGGCTCCGATAACGGCGAGGTTTACCTAGAATTTGTGATGACAGCGGCTTTCGGCAAGCCGGTGGTACCGCTGGTGTAAATGTACAACAGCTTGTCGCTGTAAGATCCCTTGTTCGGTATGACTGGAGGTGTCGTTGGTGCCTGAGTCAATAGCAACGACAAATCCTGCTCGACACGTCCAGTGTCGACTCCTGGTTGTTCTCCAAATCTGTACAAAGCCACTCCAGGGTCGAGCGACTCCGAGATGTCCTTAACGGCTGAAACGTCAAAGTCAGCGGTATGAGATACAACGAATAATGTAAACAAATGCCTTATAAATTATATTTCACTTACCATCGGACAAGTCACTGCCAAATATCAGTGCCTTGCAGTTGGCGACCTTGATGCTGTGCACCAGGGTCGACTTTCTCAGATTTGTATTAATCAACGGCGTGATGACTCCCAATTTACTCAAACCGAGCCAGATACCCACGTATTCGGGTCGGTTTTCCAGAAACAGTGCCACGACCTCGCCTTTCTCGAACCTCCTGAACACGTACGCTATCTTGTTACTGAAGTCCTCCACCTGAAAGGAGTCATAACAGGGAGAATTAAAAGGATTTCCTCCATCCATCGTGCCGTTCAAAATTCCGACGCTTTCGCTTTTTTAAGGTGAAGTGAAACACGTCGAGGAACTTGATCAACGTCGATAAAGAAGATTCTTCTAAATGCCTACGTTGCCGACATTCGTTTTTATATTGACAGCTGTGTCGAATTAGATTGAATATTGTACCAAATGGCATACTACACCTGTCGTTTTCGTACAATGAATATCAAGAAATCGAAGTAAAACTCCAGAAATCCTCTGGATTCATGCTTTCTGGAGGCCTAATTGACTGCAGAGGGACCCCCTGCGCCATCTGTGTATTTCCAGGTGAATTAAATTTTCACTCCGAGACCTCGTATTACCATCGTTTTAGCATATAAGCGCATACAACACTTTTTTTCCCCTTATCCTGTTCAAATGCGAGTTTATCGATTACCAGAGTGTTCTAAATTGTTGTAAAATTGTCCTGACCCTTTCGATTCTCATATGAGAGCCTTCGATAATTGTATATTGATCGAAATATGAGAACTCGACGCCATTTCGGTTCTGGTCTGGGCTGAGTTAAAAAATGTTGTTAAAAAATCGAAACTTTGAATGTGTCAGATAATTCGAAAAGTTTGGTCTAATACCCTTAAAAAAAAGTGTTGTACTCGAATCGACTGATTTGAAGGGTGTTTCACTTCACCTTAAATCGGTATGAAATTCCAAGAAAGGGACATGTACATGCTCGTATAAGTATTTGGCGCGGAACTCTACTGAGTTTCTTTTTTTTCCTAATTATTATTAACATCTAATAGGATTGTTTTGCTAGCCCAGTTGCCATTGTTTACCACTGTTACCTCCACAGAACTCTGACAATCGTTTCGGAGCCGTTGGATTTCCATTTGCTTGCATAAATAAACTCTCACGTCGGAAAAGATTAAAGAAAGAGTCGAGTGGCAACATTCAATCGCGAGACAGGCGCACTTCTTTCATTGACGTTACGTGTATGAGGCGACGCATTTAACATACGATTGTCAAGCCAATGAACGAGCTGGACGACACGCAGCGGCTTATCCAGAGACCCGATAGTAAATCGTAATGCTTGGTAAACATACCAACTCGAAATTGGCTTTAATGTCGTTGCACGCTCGCAATTGACACGTGACGAACACTTGCTCCTCCAATCTAGAGATGCTCCGAAATGTAACGAGCAATTCGCCATTACGTCGACGCGCAGAAAAATAATACAATTAGAGCGAAACTTATATCTTCAATGCTACCCTTTGGAAATAAAAGTGCAAATGTCTTTTTTCGTCCGTCCACCTCGTTTAGGCGACCGTCGACTATGAGCGCAAAACATAAAAAAGGTACTAACAGATTCGCCATTACGTCGACGCGCAGAAAAATAATACAATTAGAGCGAAACTTATATCTTCAATGCTACCTTTTGGAAATAAAAGTGCAAATGTCTTTTTTCGTCCGTCCACCTCGTGCAGGCGACCGTCGACCATGAGCGCAAAAAAATAAAAAAATAATAAAAAAGGTACTAACAGATACTCTAGTGGCGTCTAATTACACGTGTTAAAATAGGCCGGGGAAAACTTATATCGGCAATGCTACCCTTTGGAAATAAAAGTGCAAATGTCTTTTTTCTTCCGTCCACCTCGTGCAGGCGACCGTCGACCATGAGCGCAAAAAATAAAAAAAATAAAAAATAATAAATAAAAAAGGTACTAACAGATTCGCCATTACGTCGACGCGCAGAAAAATAATACAATTAGAGCGAAACTTATATCTTCAATGCTACCTTTTGGAAATAAAAGTGCAAATGTCTTTTTTCGTCCGTCCACCTCGTGCAGGCGACCGTCGACCATGAGCGCAAAAAAATAAATAATAAATAAAAAAGGTACTAACAGATTCGCCATTACGTCGACGCGCAGAAAAATAATACAATTAGAGCAAAACTTATATCGGCAATGCTACCCTTTGGAAATAAAAGTGCAAATGTCTTTTTTCTTCCGTCCACCTCGTGCAGGCGACCGTCGACCATGAGCGCAAAAAATAAAAAAAATAATAAAAAAGGTACTAACAGATACTCTAGTGGCGTCTAATTACACGTGTTAAAATAGGCCGGGGGTAAATGCATTTAAAACCGAGGCAAACATCACCGGTCGATTTATTTTGAGCCTGGTTTCCAAACACCCGCGACCCTCCGAAATTTATATAAATAGATAGGTGCGAGGCCGATAAATAAAGCGAGGGTTAATTCGATTAAAAACGCAAGAAAAGTGCACGGGGAGAAATAAGATAAAGGACATTTGCACCTTTAGCATTTCTCGTATAACATTTTTTATTCTCGCACGAGGAAATCTGAGAGAAAATTTTTCTTTTTCCTGGGCCCACTTTTCTCCCCAGCAACGTCCAAACTTTATCTCGCTTATCCGATCCAGTAGGAACAACAATACAATTTCCGGCCTTTGCTACAAATTAAGTTAATTTAACAAGGATCTCTTCCATAGTGGAAATTAATATTGCAAACATTTCTCCCGTTGGCGCAATTATCACTGCAGTAAGAGCAAAGCATTATCAGCAATGTCTTGTTTGCAAATGTCTCATTGTTGTACCCACGCCAAAAAGGAACTATTACTTAACTAGGTCGCCAGAAATAACACTACGGTTGGAATATTCTTTACTAGCGACGTTTAAACCGTATTTCCCTCGATCGATCGAGCAGCAACGATAATACTATCAGTGTTTCGCGCCTATATATATATATATATACTTGGCGCGAAACTCTGCCGAGGTAGTCGACTCTTCTCACCTGCTGGAACGTCCACTCTTGGTCCTCGAAGACCAAACAGACTTTATTCGGGTGTCGGTCGACATGTTGTCGGAAGACATCGGCGACGCTTCGATGTTTCCTTTCATGCTGTCGGATCATCCGCAGCAGAAAGACGTAGCGAGAGATTGCCCTGAAATAATGCATACGATTAGTCCTTTGAACACGGAGCCATTTCGACATATGGGCGAAATTCGTCTGACCGTGCAGGCAACATTGGACCAAACGTCGGGCGCCTTAAGGCGCTCTTAGTAGCCAAAGGGTTAGATAATCGGAAACATCGTCAACACCCGCACAGTCCTCTCTGGAAACGCATATTCCTCGTCCGGTAAAATATCATAAGTCGTTCTAATTCATATGGTTCTAAGACATACGGGCGAAATTCGTCTGACCGTGCAAGCAATATTGGACCAAACGTCGGGCGCCTTAAGGCGCTCTTAGTAGCCAAAGGGTTACATAATCGGAAACATCGTCAACACCCGCGCAATCCTCTCTGGAAACGCATATTCCTCGTCCGGTAATATATCATAAGTCGTTCTAATTCATATGGTCCTAAGACATACGGGCGAAATTCGTCTGACCGTGCAGGCAATATTGGACCAAACGTCGGGCGCCTTTAGGCGCTCTTAGTAGCCAAAGGGTTACACAATCGGAAACATCGTCAACACCCGCGCAATCCTCTCTGGAAACGCATATTCCTCGTCCGGTGATATATCATAGGTCGTTCTAATTATTCTAAGCCCAAGAAAGCGGGAATACCGGAGTAATCGAGATCGACGAGTAACAAAAGTAAAAGCGGGGAATTATTAACACTTGCGCTCCAGTTAATCGGGTCTCGGCGGAAATTAAAATCGGCGGAAAGTTCCTGGCACTTTGCACCGGCTGATCGGCACAACACGTGTAAGTCACCCAGACAATAAAATACAATACAATCAGTAAAAAAAAAAACGCTTAATCAGTCAAAGTCACATCAAAGAGCAATAAAGGAAAAAAAATAAGGCGCGTGAGATAACCTACTCAGTGTTGAAAAGACAAAGAAATAAAGAAATAAAAAAAAATGGAAAACTCAGGTGCATGTATAATAGAAGCGCAGTTTCCTTATCCGCGCTAATGAGACATCTCAGATCTGACTTTCCTGTATTCCTATCGCCCCATAAAATTCGATTTGAATTATTACACGGAGTAAAATTTGCGATATCACCCGAAAGTGCATATGCATTTTCGTCCCCGTTTACGAGCAGAAGAAAGTACGGCGACCTTCTTTCCAGGGACTCGCTCTTCCGTAGCCGAGTTTCATTTCACGAACAGGAAGTCGCCGTTTTCTCCATGGACAGGACAGAGAGAGCAGGAGAAAAGAAACGACGTGCAGGAGAGCAGGTGCAGCGCGCATATCGGCTGGAAAGGCGTCAAACGACCCGAAGCTGCAGGGAAAACGAGTTCTCCTCCACAAGAGCAGGCGAATAGAAAATCTGTGGACCGCCGAGAGAGATTCCGTTACGACATGTCGAGGTCAAGGGAAGAGGAGAAAAATAGGGAGAGAGAGGCCGTCAAGAGAGAACGAGCAGAGTAGGTCGCGGTCTCTCATCAAAGACACTTAGCGTGTAAATCAATTCCTTTTTGCACTTCACGTACCCTCTACAACCATCCACTAGTGTTGTAATCGAAGAAAAAATCACGAGGAAAATAAAACAGATTTTGTATAAAAAAAGAAAAAAAAAAAGAAAGGAAATCTTCAAGCGCAGGGACGCTGCGAAATGCCGCCCTAAACACGGATTTCCATTTCCTACACCGAGAAGAAAAAATTCAAAGAATAATTATTTAAGGTAAATAAACCGAGATAAATTGTCATAATCTTTAGAAAGATGTCGCATCCAATATATTCCAGTTTATTTGAGTCAAGTGATTATCTCTTTGAATTACGAAAATATTTCTTTGGCGCCGTTCGAAGAAATATCTCAATTAGGTTCGATGACTTTTTTTTGGCTCCGGGTAATTAGGAATTTGGAAAGAGAACGTATAGTAGAGAGAGAGAAAAAAATGCACCAACGCGTACGGGCGTGGACATCTTTCGATGTAAGCTTGGACGTATAGTAAATATAGTTACGCATGCATACTAAGTGTAGTTACGCGTGTATACTGAGTATAGTTACGCGTGTATACTAAGTATAGTTACGCGTGTATACTAAGTACAGTTTCGCATGCATACCAAGCATAGTTTCGCATGTATACCAAGTATAGTTGCGCATGTATACCAAGTACAGTTGCGCATGTATACCAAGTATAGTTGCGCATGTGCACTGAGTATAGTTGCGCATGTATACTAAGTATAGTTACGCATGCATACTAAGTATAGTTACGCATGCATACCAAGCATAGTTGCGCATGTACACCAAGTATAGTTGCGCATGTACATTGAGTATAGTTTTGCATGTGCACTGAGTATAGTTGCGCATGTACACTAAGTATAGTTACGCGTGTATACTAAGTATAGTCACACATGTATACCAAGTATAGTTACGCATGTATACCAAGTATAGTTACGCATGTATATTAAGTATAGTTACGCACGTATACTAAGTATAGTTACGCATGTATACTAAGTATAGTTACGCATGTATAGTAAGAAGAGTTACGCAGAGATCGAGTTACGTAATCGAGGGCCGAGTGTAAAATATTATCGACCGATTGCTTAATTGCGAGGTTGTCGGCCTCGAGGGTCAAAGATCGACTCTCGAGTTTCGGGTGCCAAAAGTGTCGATTACGACAGAATCGATACCCTCCTACACGCATCGACAAACTTCGATAAGTCACCCTGAGATGAACAAAAGGTTGGTTGACTTAAATAAACGTGGATCGCTACAACAAAACCCCGTGACCAAATACGTCCAAAGAAATATCAGTAAGAGTAAATAAAATTCGATTAAAACGACAATATCATTTTTTTTCTCCGCAACAATTGTTTCTCGAAATTATACATGATTCGGGCAACAATATACAATTTTTTTCAGTCACCTACTATTTTTTTCTTAGTGCAGGCAGATTGGCTGATGCGAAAAGTGCGTCGACTCCAAAAAGCGGAAATAAAAATTGTAATCAATTCCTTTATCATTGTTATTATCGTTACTCCGAGTAAACGCACGACGTCGAGTCTTGTCGGTAAGGAGTAAATTTCTTCCCGATAATGCTTACCTAAGTGCACGTTAACCTTAGCATGCAGGTCACTCCCAATTTGTTAAATAATGCACGGGAGAGTTTGATAAACGACGTACCTTCCAGAGATAATTAATAAGAGTTCATTTATATGCAATTATCTCCAGGCATCGTTATTGTATAATTATTTATGTAATTAGGAGGGTGGGGAGAGAAGTCGACCTAATTCGCCTCGAGTGCTCGATACCGATATCGATTGTGATAAACGATCGTTGCCGAGATAGATCGCGGCTTTTCGAGTATTCACATTTAATACAAATTTCTATTACATTGTTTTAACTATCGGAGCGTGCCCACAGAAAAAAAAAAAATAAATAATGGTTACTTGAATGAAATCGTCAGAGTGACTGCATTTGATGCACCGTGGAATATTTATTATTAAGCCAATCGATTAATGTAAAAAAATTATGAAAAAATTCACCCGATCTCGCAAGAGGAGTGTCTAAAACCCCGTGGTTTTTGTCACCGGGCAAAGATCGAAAATTTTCCTAGACGGTGCTCGAGATAAGAGCGTCTCCTCGAGAGGGGGCCGATAGGTGTTATCGCTTATCGAGCGTCGTGATCGATCGGACCCTTATCGGTATCGGGTCCTCTTCTTTGCTCTTCGATCTCCGGATCGCGAACAGGACGGTTTCTAATCGACGACCATCGCGATCGAGGCATTCCCGAGGACAAAGTCAAGCACACCAGGCAAAGTCCAACTTTCGAAACGACCTGCCGGTTGACTAATCGCAAAAGCGAGTTGTCCAATTTCGTTAGACAACGTGTCCAAGGTGCGTCCGAGATCGGTGGGCATCGGTTCTCCTGGACTTCGATCAACGGGTCCAAAACTTGACCCGGTTTTTCCCTCTCATCGCACTTATCTCCTCATCACTTGATAACCAATCGCTTCCTATGAGAAGCTCAAATCAACTGTTTTTCCCAAATATAGTGGAACAATCATTCCATCGATATTGTTAAAAGATTTTTCACCGTCATTAATGAAAGTCTGAACCAATACGACCGGATGATCACAGAGACCAGAGAAAACGAAGCAACTCTTCAACTTCCGCGAAGGATAAAAAGGGGAAAAAAAGACTCGGTAGAGTTTCGCGCCAAATACATTCTCCCGCAAAGTCACGCGGCCGAGTCAGCCGGCAGATAATTCTCGCGCGACTTTCGACGCGCTCGGTGTGACGCGTCGGCCGCGCCGAGAGTCTCTCAAGGACGAGTCACTCGCCCGAGGATCGATTTACGAAATGGGACCGACTGTATCACGGTGAAAAAAAAAAAAAAGAAACAAACAAACAAAAAAAGAAGATGGCAGATAATTCTTTGACGCGCTCGGTGTGACACTTTCGCGCGGTCCCTCTGTGTGACGCGTCGGCCGCGCCGAGAGTCTCTCAAGGACGAGTCACTCGCTCGAGGATCAATTTACAAAATGGGACCGACTCTATCACGGTGAAAAAAAAAAAAAAAAGAAAATCGACCGAGTCAGCCGGCAGGTAATTTTCGCGCGACTTTGACGCGCTCGGTGTGACACTTTCGCGCGGTCCCTCGGTGTGACGCGTCGGCCGCGCTGAGAAACTCTCAAGGACGAGTCACTCGCTCGAGGATCAATTTACAAAATGGGACCGACTCTATCACGGTGAAAAAAAAAAAAAAAAAAGAAGATCGACCGAGTCAGCCGGCAGATAATTCTCCCGCGACTTCCGACGCGCTCGGTGTGACGCGTCGGCCGCGCCGAAAAACTCTCAAGGACGAGTCACTCGTCCGAGGATCGATTTACGAAATGGGACCGACTCTATCACGGTGAAAAAAAAAAAAAAAAAAAAGAAGATCGACCGAGTCAGCCGGCAGATAATTCTCCCGCGACTTCCGACGCGCTCGGTGTGACGCGTCGGTCGCGCCGAGAAACTCAGGGACGAGTCACTCGCCCGAGGATCGATTTACAAAATGGGACCGACTGTATCACGGTAAAAAAAAAAAGAAAAAAGAAAATCGACCGAGTCAGCCGGCAGATAATTCTCGCGCGACTTCCGACGTGCTCGGTGTGACACTTTCGCGCGGTCCCTCGGTGTGACGCGTCGGACGCGCCGAGAAACTCTCAAGGACGAGTCACTCGCTCGAGGATCAATTTACGAAATGGGACCGCCTGTATCACGGAGAAAAAAAAAATAAGATCGACCGAGTCAGCCGGCAGATAATTCTCGCGCGACTTTCGACGCGCTCGGTGTGACACTTTCGCGCGGTCCCTCGGTGTGACGCGCCGAGAAACTCTCAAGGACGAGTCACTCGCCCGAGGATCGATTTACGAAATGGGACCGACTGTATCACGGTGAAAAAAAAAAAAGAAACAAACAAAAAAAGAAGATCGACCAGCCTCGTCAGCAGGCGAATCATTCGAATAATTCCGAAGGCAGAGGACGCGCGTTCGACGTCCCATCCAAAGTCCATAAACGAGCCCGCGGAAGTTTCGCCGCGAAATCGAATTCCCGATAAATGGCGAATAGCAGGAAGGACCACTCCTGGAAACGACCGTCACGCGATTCGCCAGGAATTACGTTAAATAAAAATATGGACGGAAGAATAAGAGATACGCTTTTTTTTTAGGCGGAAAAACATTTTAAGGGGATTAAATAAGCCCTTCGAAAAGTGGAGGCGTCAGCAAAGTTGAATGTAACAATTAATTCACCAGAAAAAAAGTTTCACTTTCCGAAATGGGAAGCTTATTGTGACATGGGAGTTTGCACGTAACGCGTAATTTTAAAAGTAACTACAGTACCACAAAGAGTTTTCCTTAAAAATAATAGACACCCGTTTCACTTTTCGTTACGCTTCCCTTAGCCCTTTTGGTGCCGACGAGACATTGTCGTTTACAAGCGGCAACAACTTCGGCCGGCACTAAAAGGGTTAATCCATGAATTTATTGCGGCGGCACGAGAAGTTACAGGTAGAAAAAAAAAAGGAAAACAGAAAACATGGCAAAGAGCGTTGAAAAATCGAGTCTTATTTCCGCGGGTCGGCGAAGGAAACGTAAAAAGGAAATGGTCGTCAAGGAGCTTCGCATCGATTTTCCATCGGCGGGCATCGGCCGCCGATGGAAGGAGTCGACGCCGCCCGATGCACCGATGCACAGTTGCACCGTAGCACCGGTCCCCCTCCGAGGAGTGCTCCGTAATCTCCGGAAATTAAAGTTTCCTCGGCAGAGGCGGAAATCGCCAGCGCGCCGGTCGAAAAAAAAATCCGGCGCGTGGACATCCAGGCCACGCGCGCGGGAACTTCCGCGAGCGGATGATCGGATGATTATTCCGCCCGATTATACGATATGCGTATCCTCTACAGTCTAATATAGGACAACGGGTCGTTTACGTACCAAGTGACGGTGCGGATGGCGCGATCGCGAGCGTCCTACGACCGGGGATGGCCGAGAAAAATTCGGATTTCGTCCTAGGATTCAAACTCACCGCGGGGCGTAAGGATTCGTTCGGGGTCGCCTCGCGCCGGGCGGCGAAGACAGCCGAAGTCTGCCGAGGACGGCCGATTGCCTCGGCGTCCTCTGGCAACACCTGTGCGACATTCGCGCCGGGCACTCGGCATCGCTCCGTCGGAAATAGTCTCGTGGGTCTCGTCACGCCACTCGTTTTTCCCCTCGCCCAGAGTTCCCCGTCTAAAATAGCATCGCGGAGCGGGCATCCAAATGTGTCCTTACAGGTTAGGTCACCCGCTTCGCGCCTCTCGCGAGCCCGTAGGGCGCGCACGCGCTCGGCCGATCGATAGAATTCAGCCCGTGCCCAGCCAACTCGAGACCTCGTGGCGAGGTCGGCTCCATTAACGCGGAGCGAGGTTAGGTTCCATTAAAGCGGCGCGCTGTACGCGAGATGCCGCTCTCTCCCGGGAGAGAGAGAGAGAGGCGGAATCTAGGTTAGGTCGACTCACTTGTAGTCCCGGGGGAAGGTCTTCAGGGCGACGTAGAACCATCGGAAGCGGCCCCCGGCGACGACGTAGGCCACCAGGGCTACCAGGAAGAGCTGGACCAGCGAAAGGGGCCCCAGGAAGAGCCAGACCGCCGTCAAGGCGCCCGCCAGGGCCACGAGGGCGAGCATGAGGACCGCGAGGCGTCGGAGCAAGCGTACGACTGCGTTCCAACGGCCGACTGATCCGCATCCGTCGCCACGTGAGGCACCAGCCAGCGCCTCCGTGGCCAGGGTCGACGTCAGCGACGACGGCGATGACGTCACCGCGGGATTTCCCCCTCTCACGGTGCACTCGCCCCGCTCCACGTCCTGCGAACAGGTAGAGGTGAGAGCTCGGGCGCAGCAGCCGCGGCCCGGCGGAACCACCGGGACCGCTGGAACTAGTGGAACTAGTGGAACTCCAGGAAATAGAGCGTCACTCGAATGTACGCGAGATAGCTCATCTCCTACTCCTATTAAGGTGTTATGAAAGTGTCGTATATATCAGGGCACTTGGTAGAGTTTCGCGCCAAATACATTTAAAAACCTACTTGAACGGCTCCGAATACTTAACGCCAAAATTCGATACATCAATTCGATAAATATTTCTCAATTAAGAGAACTTATCATATACATGTGCCCATAATTATGAAAGTGGTCTAAGTCAAAATTGAAAAAAAAAAAATGAGTTTATCAGTTATTTCACGCCACATTATTACCGACCGGGGCGATAAATCGATAGATTTATTAATTGCTGATTTTTCGTTCCCCCAATTTTTTTTTATTTAAAACAAAAATTCGGCCCATAGAGGGTTAAGTTTCATGGTAAAGGAAGTGGAGAACGTTATAACGGAGTCGATGAACGGTACCGACTGGGGCGATAAATCGATAGATTTATTAATTGCTGATTTTTCTTTCCCCCAATTTTTTTTTATTTAAAAAAAACATTCGCCCCATAGAGGGTCAAGTTTCACGGTAAAGGCAGTGGAGAACGTTATAACGGAGTCGATGAACGGTACTAACCGGGGCGATAAATCGATAGATTTATTAATTGCTGATTTTTCGTTCCCCCAATTTTTTTTTATTTAAAACAAAAATTCGACCCATAGAGGGTAAAGTTTCATGGTAAAGGCAGTGGAGAACGTTATAACGGAGTCGATGAACAGTACCGACCGGGGCGATAAATCGATAGATTTATTAATTGCTGATTTTTCGTTCCCCCAATTTTTTTTTTTATTTAAAACAAAAATTCGGCCCATAGAGGGTTAACTTTCACGGTAAAGGAAGTCGAGAACGTTATAACGGAGTCGATGAACGGTACCGATAAATCGATAGAGGGGAAAAGCATAATCAAGAGAAACGATCGATACCGTTGGAATCTCCAGAAATTTACGCATTTTCATTTTTCCAGAAACTCCGAATGAGCTGGCGATATTCGGAGAAAACCACCGGAAGTGGAGGGAAGAGAGGGAAAGTCATTCCGTCGTACAAAGTCCGGTCGCGACACATCGCTGATATAGTTGGGACCAAACTGGTGATAACAGGATTTACTAAAATTTTAAACGAAACCCCTTATCTCACGGTAGGATAAATTTCCACCTCAAGAAATGGGAGCGCAACAAATGGCACGAAAAGTCGAACGTTCAATCCCTTACAGTTATTTTTATACAATTAATTAGTATTCATTTTTCCATCTTCGTGGGTAGGATAGAGATAATTTGCGTAAGCGTTTTTGCTAGTGTTAGTGTTCCACTATGTATCGGATTAGGCGAAGTTTTCCGTAAGACGCGAATTCCGACATTAATTAATTAATTTATCGGCACATTCGCTCTAGTTTGATAAGCCTTTGCGCCGGTACAAGGAATTTTCGGCGATTTCCCCAAGTGTCCCTAAACATAACTTTAATTGTACAAATTCCAGATGCAAAAAATGCTTGTTTTTTTTTTATTCAGTAAGACTGAATCGGGCTTTGTTCCCACGAAGATAGCATGATAGCGTACCAATACATAGAAAATTACGTGATTCCATCAAATGAGTCCCATAACTGGAATTTTATTTCCTCGGCAGATTCCACGAGAGAAAGGAAGGATTCGATATAACCGAGAGCGAAACGACGAGTACTCTTTATCAGGCAAAATCGGCCTCGCAACTGTCCGATAAGCCGAATTTTCAGAAATCGTGACTCCGCTCCGATAATCATGCAAAAAGATTCCGATAAGTCGGCTCACTTTTGCTCTGCTGGCAACTTAATAATTCCTATCGCAGTGTTCAACAATCTTACATAATTCCTGGGTGGCATGATCCCGGTACAGTGTAACTGACTATGCGATTAAATGATCGATTAATCTGAACTCTTTGTGCCGCGACATTTGCAATTCACGTTGACGTGAAAAATTCCAGTTCCCGTGTAAAATAATTCTCTACGCTGATAAGAAATTTTCTTTGAACCAGAGAAACATGTCGATAATTCAAAAAATAATTATTTCACTCAAAGTGGATTAAATCGGAATTATGACAAAATGATTCTTTGGTTCAATTACATTTATTTATTTCTTTGTTTCTCAGGGCGTTTAATTCTGTCAGAGCGTTATCTCGGGACATGCGATAATTAGTATAAATACAATTTGCGTCTGCATATCACGCGATCCCTGCAACAATATTTTTAACGGCGCCGAAGCCTTCGTGATAAGAGATTCCCATGTCACACAATGACTTTTCATCCTCCGACGATGTTTAATCGCTATCACGAGCCTAAAAAGTGAAGCGAACGAGCCGTTAAAAAATAATCCACTTTGTAATTCGTTAATTAGCATATTATCAGCTCATTAGGCGATCGATTAATCTGAATCCCTCACATCATTCCAACACTTCTCTAAGAGTTTCATTCATCCTAGCGTTATCTCGAGGCTTGCGATGATTACTATCAGTATGATTTGCATGTGCATATCACGCGATCCCTGCACCATCATTTTTATCGTCGTCGGAACTCTCGTGATAAGAGGTTTCCAAGTCACACCATGATTTTTCCTCCTCCGATGATGTGTTAATCCTTATCTCAAGTCTAAAAAGTGAAGCAAAAGAATCGTTAAAGAAAAATCCACTTTGTAATTCGTTAATTGGCATATTAACGGCCTTCGGTGTAATTAACTTCGGTGTGAATTTATTAAGATCGAATGTTTGCTCTTGGAAGCCGCTCTTCCGTACTCGTCGCGCATTCTCGGATTAATTAATTTTCCCAGTGCAGATGCAGTTAATTGAACGCGCTCCGAGGCATTACGTGTCATACTTGCTGCATCTCGGGGATGCTCGTATGACTTGCATTGCACTTCTCGAATGGAACTGAGGTTAGCATCGTAAATGGGATATGTAGGAACAATTTTTGGAAATTGTCGGGGCAGCGCCAACGAAATGGTGTCGGGTCTTCAGGAATGTCTTTAATTTCACAATCGATGGCGACATATCAACAGGTGAACGAGTGTTAAATTTGGAAACTCCATTAACAACTGGGATTTTCAAGGAGTATATTGCGATAACACCTACCAGGCATTTAGTTATCTGATATGGAATTGTTTGAGTATATTGCAAAATTACCCAGTGGACAAGTACTGGATGTTAAATCGCTTGATCACATTGCATGCGTTGATAAAAATATCCATGTTAATTTACACATCGGTTATTTTTATGCCCTAATGAATTGGAGTAAAATTACCCCCTCTCTGTAATATCACATTTAATTTAAATTAAAATGCACCAATGCGGTAAATACACGATGTCAAGTTTATTTATATATTTTCTAATTCGGCATTTTTCCACTTTACTTTTTTTTTTTTTTTGAGCGAAACTTCAATTATGAGCGCGTGTACAAATGTATGTAAATTTTCATGGATTTTTATCAGTGCAGCCTCGGTTAAGGCAGGTAGTTACTTGGCATTGAATTGCTTCACCTGTTGATAAAAAACATCGAAAACGTCACTTAATGAGGTAACTCGAATTCCTGCGGCCAGGTATATTTCCTCGTGTCTAGAAACACGTTTGTAGTAGTTTCCTCGTGTCCAGAATGGCCTTCAGGATATAAAAAAACCTAAATGGAATTTACCGATTTAATGGATTTTCGTCCCGATGTCTACACCCGTAAATAAGTAAATAATTGGAAGTCCATACATGTTTTAACGGGCTCTCTTGATTTCGGAGTGCTAAAATTCATTTAGCGCCTCTGGCCGTGATTTATCCTTTTCTCGTAATAGGTTTCCCTTTTCGGCGGTACGTTCATTATAGTTGGTACCCAACAGTACTTATCTTTTACATACGTATTCTTACATATATGCCTGAACTTTGGACGGTACATGGATTCTGATTTGTGTCGGTTGTAATAGACGCTTACGTGTCGTCTTTAGAAGTACATGCGCCTTACTTTTAAATGGTCAAAGGTTGCGATAGTAAAGTCACGCTACCGATATGTAATGATTTCAATTCACGAACCAACCTGTACTAACTTCGTACAGTTGTCACGGTATTACGTAACGCTCGTCCCGGCGATCTAGTTACACCGACACATCTGAATTTCACTCCAATTATTTGATACCGAAGGTCGCAGTCGACCGTAATACAATACAGTTATATTTAATTCGACATGCCAGCCCTCGATACATATCCTATCCCCTAACTCCTATTAAAAGGATAAACAATCATAAATCAACGTAGCCGTACGATAATTAACATCGTAACAATCCTGAAGTAAAGTAACGTCCCAGAGCGAAGATTAGTTAAGCGCCTTTTAATCCCCCGAGGGGAACATTTTTAAATAGGAAAGTTCTACGATTACCTCGATGCAAAAACATGAAACATCTAACCTTTTCTTCTAGTTAATAATTTTGACATCGCTCCGTCGATGGACCTTTCTCTGGAAGTTCTGGGAATATTCATAACTCCACTTGCAGATATGACCTCAACGAATAACTTTAAGATATTTAACCTTTTTCTGGTTAATCTGCCATTAAGATTGCCTCGTTACGGGGTTTCTTTCCAGGGAATTCCATGAATATCGATAAATCTTACTTGAACGCACAGGTGAGGAAGCGTAACGACATCCCGTGTGAATTTTTCACACCGGTCACTTGCGTAAACGTTTCATTATCCAGATTAACTCCACATGTTCTCTCATCTGTCAGATATCAGCCTGTAAACACGGTCTGCGTTCCGTATCCAAGATGGCGGCGGTCACGTGACGGACGCCATTCCTCGCTTTACCTTTCGGAAGGTTCGTCCACTATTCCCAACGCCGTGTCACTCCACAGCGAGCTTTTTACAAGCAACGTAACACTTTAAGCCGACATCCCTGTCAAAGCAAATATTAACGGCAACATAGAGAAGTTTCGCAGGACATTTCACCACGCTCGCGTGTCACGACCCGTCAGACATGTCCAGACCTGTCGTTGTCCCGCGACCCCTGACAGCCTAAAACGCAGACGATTAAAAACGCAACAAAAGACAGAACTCGTCGATCTAACCAATAAAAAGGGGTCTCTCTTTAAACCTTTTTGAAATTATAACCACGCGGAGGAGGCTATTCTTCGGTTTTTTTTACGAAGAATGGCAATGTCGGGCGGATACCTTAAATCGTTAAGTCGCATGCGTGTTACTCACTCTGGAGTAAACTCCTCTTGGGCGATCAGCGAGGACGAACGGCGCCTGGATACATCTTTGCAGGATTCTTTTGAGCCGCACGATTTCGCGACCCTTCCCCTCGCGTCGCCAACTCCGCGCCGAGTGCCACTTCAAGACCGCACCGGGTCCCGTCTAACCGTCGCGCCTCCGAAGGTTCTCGACATCACTGTCCAGCGGGGGAAGGTTTCTCCAGGAAATGCGCCCCGTTTTTTACGTTCACTCGAATCGTTTACTACATTTGAATTGGTCCGCGGTAACGTTAACGATCTCACCCGCCGCCGTGCATGGATACTGCGTTCCGAGCGCAATCAATATCGCCGCGGTGCTGCCGCCTGGCGGCGGGAGCGCGAGCTTCTTAGCGAGCGACCCGCGCTCTGTTTTATCGACGCGGACGATCCGTCCAGTGCGCGGGAAATTCGATGTCAGTCGAGGTTTTTACTTTCGCAGGGCCTCCTTAACCACATGCGGAAATTTCGAAAGATTCGGTCCACCCAGTTTGGGGAAAGGTTTATTAATATATATTTTGACGTTTAATATAAATAGAATGACCCTTTCATATCACCTTAAGAGATCAATTATACGTATAGGTAATCATTATCTTTACGAATTAATTGCTTTCCGACGACAGTAAATCGAGAATTTGTAGTAAAAATGTCGAAAAAGAAAAATTCGCAAACTGCTACCTATAACTTTAGTCGGAATAGAAGCTGATTAAAAATTTGCATCTGCTATTTACAAACGCGAATGGACTATATACATGCATTTTTTGCACTTTTAACGTCTGAATTAATGGGCAAGATAATTACATAATTATGAATTCTATATATTTAAAGTGTTAAATTGGTGTAATTTATTTACACGACGGTGTCTCGATTTACTCATAAAGACAGTATCTCAATTTATTCATGTAAGCCGAGATGAGCAATTGATCATACACTGTATAGTGACGATTACGAATCAGTGGTGACATATAATGTGCGATTAATCGTTCGATAACAGCTAGCGTGGAATTGAAAAATTATAATCCCGATAAATACTATCATCTCAGACAGAACTGCATAAAAAAAAATAATAGCGGGACGAGGCATGGCTAATCAACACACGAAGTCATACTTGTCTGTCATCAGACGGATAAAAAGTATCGATGAACTTTGTTCGCCGTGATTGCAACCTTCTCTTAATACGTGACGCCGCTTGTATAACAAATTATGATAATTGATTGTAATTCCGAGTTAACGTATAGACGCGTTCAGAGAAGTGACAGGTGACTCACGTTCATCTGGAAATGTCACACACTGCAATTACTCCTCGTTTAATTTCCACCTTGTGATATTCTCGAGAAGCGACAAAAAGTGCCGGTTGGTTTTCTTCGAAAAAGGTCAGACTGCAAATTCCGTCGTCAACGATTCGTTATATACTTTTTATCTCCCTTTTTTTGTTGTCAATCCGAACGAGAGGTGGCACGATTCGACGCAATTTTAATCCCGAAGGGAGAAATCGAGAAAGTGGGATTCAGAAGGGTCTGGTTCTCTATTTTACGCGTTTTCGTGCCTAATTTCGGTTCGCTTCGCCACTTTTTGTCGGATGTACAGAGGTGCAGCAACACTCGAGAGGAACGGTACTTGCTTTTTAAAAGCAAGTGAAAGTGTTGCCTCCACTTTTGACTCCTTTACCCCTTTCGCTGCTAACGGTGACTACAGTCGCCTGACGCTCGCTAAGCAGTATATATAGTATATATAATTTTTAGCAGTATATATAGTATATATAATTTTTAGCAGTATATATAGTATATATAATTTTTAGCAGTATATATAGTATATATTTTTTTTGTCACGCATCGGGCCCGCCGAGTCCAGAAACGGCGACGCGAGCGCCAGTTCGGTAAGCGGCCAATTCCGCAACTAAAGTGGAACCCCGGCACGGAGCCGTTATAAAAGTGGAGGCGCTAAGAAATGCAATCGCGAAACATGGAATAGCTTAAAAAACGCAGAAAAATCGTCCAATCTCAATGAGCTTCTTAAAATTGACATTACTCAATCAAGAGGTTCAGAAAGCGACGTTCCTTGTCCGGGCTGAACATTGCACATGTGCCCATAATTATGAAAGTGGTCTAAGTCATATATTCTTCGTTTCGAAATTACATTGAATTAATTTCCTTTGAAATAATATGTCGTGAAATAACTGATACTCATTTTTTTTTTTAATTTTTACTTAGACCACATTCATAATTATGAGCACATATAACGACTAGCTCTGAATTTCCCGCCTCTATTATACACACTTTTGGCGAAACTCAACCGAGTATCTTAACCGGAAAAAAACCTGGAACCGACGAACACGCACTTACCCTGTCCTTGGCGGAAACCTCGAGGCAGATCGCCGGTTTCCCATTTCCCACGTCGTCGGTTCCCCTCACGGAGTCCGACATATCCTCGGATATACCTCGCGGTCTCTTCGAGCTAGAAAAACCAAAAGCGCGCGATCGTCATTCGCCGCTGGGAATTTCAACTGTTCACTCGAGTCCTTTCACTCGCGAAAATCCTGCGAAGCGCAGCGCCCCCCCGCGGAGGGACCACGTGGGTCCGGTGCACCCACGTGACGCGGGACCGAACGCGATATCGCGCGAGGGATCGATGCCCGGTCCGTGGCAGTGCACTCGCGCGCTGCGTTCACGCCGACTTCCTTTTCTCACCCTTCGAGCGGTCGACGGGAACTAGTTCGACTTTTTTTCCCTCTCTCTCTCACGTGCTTCCACCACGGCCCGGTTGGAGTCCCGTAACCGGGAGCGCGCGTGGTCGGGTGCAACCTGCGTACTCCTCGGCGAGGCTCTGGACGAGGACTAAGACACGGCGTCCACCGAACGCCGGCTCGCGGCCCCGTGACCCCTCCCCTTCCCCCCTTCCCCCTCGCGCTTTCGATCCGCCTCCGACCCCCTTACAACCCCTACCACTTTGCGCTCTTGTATATATATGTATTTTCTATTGAGAAAATTATATGTAATTGCGGGAAAATATTTAAAATGGTTAAAACTGATGGTTTTTTTTTTTATTTAATACAAACGCATTCGATCGTCATGTTACGTGAACGATGCGCCCAAATTGGGAAATGTGACGTTTTTTAATTTATTTAAATTGGGAGGAATTTCAAAAGGATTTATGATGCGAAGGGTTAATTGTTCGTGACTTTTTTTTTTCGTGGACTGGGCGTAGGGCATCGTTTTAATATTTTCCACGGGAATTTGGAGGCTCTAAGAAAGATCCCGACTCCTGTAGAATTTTTATTTTTAGACACTTTTTATATGAATTTAAGGGGAATTTTTGGGAAGAATTATTCCCGGTAATATTTTCTGTATTTGAGGGCAACGTTGTGTATGAAGTTCTTTTCGTGAAATCATGTCGAATAAATACTAACTTAGCGTCATTTGGGATTCTTACGAAATCAATTTCGCTTGTGCCAAGAAATTTCTTTAAACGAGAGGCGATTCGGAAAATAATTTTTTTCGCCGTCTGGGGGATCGGACGCACCCTGCTTAATCCTTGACACCCTCTATCGAGGTAATCTTTCAGACATGATCGGAATGGCGAAGTAAAAGTCGAGGACGACCCCGAGTTATATAAGATTGATAATACTCCGGCTTACAGATTCGCAAGTTTCTACGGAGAAAGAAATCATCCAAAGTTATTATGTCGCGCACGTCTGCGTCCCATCGTGGTCAGGTAATGGCCGAATGTCTGAAGTCACGGCGAATCTCGCCGGGACTTCGGACTCGGATAAACCTGGCTTACCTTCGCCGACAAAGAGGACTCGCGAGAGTGCGCTAAACAATGGCGAAAACATAAATTCTGCATCGCCTCCGCGTCGATGAGCGATCGGTGAAAGGGAACCAACTCCTTTGCATAGCTTTTTCCACCTTCAGGAAAGAATTCCATTAGCCGGTAAATGCGTTCCCCGGGGGACGGTTTCTTAACTTCCAATTTCTGGATTCCTCGCCATATTTTTAGGACTCCTCCAAGCAGGATTTCCCAATCCTTGGTAAGAGCAAGATATCGATTTCTAACTTTACGTTATCATATTACAATTTATGAATCCTTCTTCTTTTACTCCATTTGCATTCGAGGCTGCGTTCACGTCCCGCTTCTTCTCTCATCCTTGGAATTGTCTCCTGCGGAAAAATAAGAAAAAAAAGTAGAGCATTACCTTACATTTAGCTCTACTTTGAATCGAAGCCATCTAATTAAGCCAATTTTCGTTCCGCTACTCTTTTTAAGTCCTACCTTTCATTTTGTACGTTCTACTTAATCCTCTGCAACGCCACGCCATTTTGAAGTGATACTCGATATCCATATTTTTCATCTTATTTAATTTCTCCGAGAAAAATTGATGTAGCATTTCATTAATATCCCACGCCTTCGCAATTACGGGATTTGATTAAAAATTCTTAATATGTAAATCATAAATATAAAGCCCTATTACAGTCTACAATTAGTTTCGATTGGAATGCAAATTTTGTCTCGTTATTTTCAGAAGTCCTTCCAGGGTGCTTGGATTCCTTAGGAAGGATTTTTCAACCCCTCGTGTTTCTTGTGGTTCCTTCAAGGACGTGGAGGGATCTTGATAAGAGCAAGTATCGATTTTTAATTTAACCCTCTGCCATTACGTTTCATAATTCTTTGTTTTGAGTTCGTTCGCCTTCAAGGCTCCATTCCGATTCGACCCTTGCGTAAAAAATCGAGAAGCGGCTTCTTTAAGGTTTCCGCATAATTAACGGAGGACACCGAATGCGCAATTTCCGCAAGGCGTCGGTGTTCCATTGAAGCGGGGAACGCGGGGAAAATTATGCGGAAGATCGGGCCAGAGGTGAAGCCGCCATTCTCGTCATTGACGGCACTTTGACGAGCGATAAGTTGTAAGAATCGTAGGCCGTAATGAAAGGATGAACCGAAGGCAAAAATCTCAAGTTTCTATCGTACGCGACGGGATGGATTGCGTAACGTCATTGCGTAACGTGTAATGCAATTTTATCACATCCGAAGAGGGCTCGCCGAAGGGGACGGCCGTCAGGGCCATTTTTTACATTTCACCGCGTAAAAACATTATTTTCATAACGAGTATTAACCTGGTAACATCGTCATTAGACTGATCATCCACGAAATGTGTACAAGTGTTGGTAGGATACATTGCAAATGTAGATTACTGTATTCTAATTATTTTCTCACGTGCGGCCGTTACTTTGCGTCCCAAATTGAACTTTAATCCCCTCGGTAATTGTTACTTACAAAGACTCGAATCGTTAAAGGAATCTCATTAACATCCCTGATTTCGACCTCAACAACCGTGATGTACATTATTCATGAGAGCTTTTTTTGGAGTTACATCGTCATCATTCTGAAAACTTTCCTTCCGGAATGACAATTACATGTTCCTTCGGTCATTCTTCAAAAACTCATTTTAATCGCCTTGCGAGGATAATTCCAGTCCCTGGAGATTGTAGTTCTCTCAAAATCGCTCGAAATCTGGTTCGCTGATTTTTTTTTCCTTTTTTTTTCTTTCCCTGGTACTACCAATTGCGTAATGAGCCGCACGGGAGTAATGACGCGTCATTACGCGGGTTTTATCCGCCCTAGCGGATTTCGCAAGGGTGTTGTAAAAGGCAAAGAGTACAGTGAACTCTTTTAACGAGGAGAGAGATTCCAGTTGTTATCGGAGTTGTAATGGAAGTGCAGGTGATCGGTAGAGACCAATGGATTTAGATATTCTTTGTCCCAAAGAAATTTTTTCTAAATACAAAGAATTAGACTCAAATAAAATTCTTATAATTCTGAAGAAACGTTGCATTCAATTTATCCCAGTTTATTCGAGTCCATGAATTATTCTTTGAATTTACAGAAATGTTCCTCTGGTATTATTCGAAAATATTAATACTATTCTATAATATTAAATATTTCTTCGGTTCAGTGACGTTATTTTCTCCGTTTGGGTATGATTATTTACCGCGAATCGATCTGCAAGAGGAAGAACTGAATTATTCACAGGAAAGATAGAGTCGTAAGGATTCCAGCTATTGGATTATTTATAACATGCGACATCAATTTTTTATGATTTATGAAATGCCTATGAGATATGTCGGCATCACGCTCGGTTTATCTGCATGCATTTATTCGAGCAGTTGCATATGTGCCCATAATTATGAAAGTGGTCTAAGTCAAAATTATAAAAAAAATGAGTTTATCAGTTATTTCACGCCATATTATTTCAAACGAAATTACTTTAATGTAATTTTGAAACAAAAGATATATGACTTAGACCACTTTCATAATTATGGGCACATATCTCGAGTGTTCTTCGTTTGTGCACTTACTCTCTGGTTTCGGAATTTCTTTTTGCAACCGCCGACACTTTTTGTTGTATACGAGCGGTTTTTGTTGCTCTTCTTCGCGTGGTAACGATTCCAAAGATGGCGAGACCGGTTCGAGATTACCCGTTACGACTGCACCTCGTGATTATGAAAGCATAGTAATATAAGAAAATTGGCTTAACAATTGCGCCGCTCCGAGAAGCATTCCATTGTTGCTCTGGTGTTTGTAATTTCCCTTACCTCGGCAATCTTGTTAACGAACCGTTAACGGGATTGACCGACTCCGACAGTTTCGTTAGAACTTGTTTCCAAACGGCCATTTTCCAGGACGTGTTTCTTAATATGCTTTCGGACATAATTGGGATATTTCACATGTTCATACGCAGTCCAGATTTCTTTACTAAAATGAGAAATATGGAAGGTTAATAGGTTAGGTCACGTGGCTTTATATGGAACGACGCGGTTTACTTAGGTTAGAATAATTCCGTAAATATTTATCAAATCGATATACGGAATTTTGTCGTTAACTATCCAGTGCTTTTTAATGCACCGCAACATTTGGAAAGAAATACTTCATTCGATTTTCTAACGGCATGTTCTATCGTATTTGGTGAAAATAATTCATTTAAGCTGTTTCTTTGGGAGAAAGCGATTTCTGCAATTTTTGTCATTAATCGGGGAATGATAAATGTATTTGGCTAAGTTTTTGTACACCAAGTGCTTTTTTTTTAGGCATGCGGTTTACTTAGGTTAGGACGTGGCGCGCAAAAATGGTGAGAGTGAGACTCGAACTTCATCGAATTAGAAGTTTCCATTAGCGGTCTCCTGCACTCTCGAAGGCTCGAGAGAATGACCGTGACTGAATTTTCTCATGACAGGTAATGAACTCAATAGTAAGTAATGGCCGGGAGGGTCGGGAGAGTCGAGCAATGGCCGTAGTGTCGCATGACGCCTAACGCGACTAACTCTAAAGTCTACTAACGGTACAAATGCAAGTGCAGGTGCATTTGCATCCGAACGCTGTGGCCTGCATCCTCGATAATGTTTTCGTTTACGGGACACCCGGTTGCATAATTAAATATCTGTCACCTCTGCATCACGCCTTTCGATGGCATAGAGCGATTAGAAATTCTCAATAATGGCGCACGAATAATAAATACCGGTAAATAATTAACGAACACGGGCCAGAATTCATGAATTTGTGGCCATCTTGGAAATTCAAAAGGTCGCCGGCTGAGTGGGCGATCTACTTGATGGCTCACTTATGTCTTTCACATTTACTGAAGGATATATGTATATATCCTCTGGTTAAATATATATCTGTCTTTTATATCCAGAGATTCATTTCGAATTCGTATTTACGTACAGTATTGTCAGGCAATTCGAAGAGTACCGGCTTTCGAAAGTCGCGCCGCGGCGGCCATCTTGGAAATTCAAAAGGTCGCCGGCCGAGCCGCGCGACTGCGTGGGCGACCCACCTCGTGGCTCACCTATTCTTTCTGCATTTACTAACGGATATATATCTGTATTTTATATACAAAGATTCACTCCGAATTCGTATTTACGTATAGTATTGTCAGGGAGGATGAAGAATTCCGGCTTTCGAAAGTCGCGCCGCGTCGGCCATCTTGGAAATTCAAAAGGTCGCCGGCCGAGCCGCGCGGCTGCGTGCGACCTACCTCGTGGCTCACCTATTCTTTTCGAATTTACTAGTGGATATATATCTGGATTATTCCGAATATCAGTGAAATTTGGAGCTTGATCTAGAAACGACAAATTTGTGGAATCAGGTGAGCAGAGTAAAGAACTCTGGTTATTATTTCGTTGTCGCAAACTATGAGAACCGTGACACTCTTCGCGGTGTATGTTAATGTCTTTCCGGTGTCTCGGTGGTTAGTCGTGCTTTCAGTCATTTCCTTTTCTCGTAATACCGATAAAAAGTAACAGTACCGCGGTGCAGTTGGTGCGTCGTAAAAAACCGCAGAGGAATTTTACCGTATTTCAATTTTGACATCACTTGACGACCGGGAATACTTTTATACAAACGTTTTTACGTTAATGGAAGAAGTGGATAATTAATTCCGCGGTACCCGTTAGACGAGATTAAAGATTCTTAACAATATATCTCTACAATATTTCAGCAATATTGATATGTAATTAAAGCTACGCGATGATGATTAAAGCTCTCACGAACGAAAGGTAATTCCCTTAGATAATAGGTAATAGATCGGTATTCTCGCATAATCAGCTAACGCATAAACATTTTCTCACACGTCAGGTCGAGATTCTGCAGTAAATCAATCAGTTAGAAGTTTACGACAGTTTGGAAGGGCATGAAGTCGCCGCATGCGTATGTACAGTACCGCATATACATTACGAGTAAATTGCGACATATGCATATCAATATTACGTATTAGATCATTTCGCAAGATAAGACATATTTATTCGGGGTGTTTTGTTTCACAGCTGTCGGAGGCTCCTGGACACCCGGTATATTGTTGCAGAATTTTTCGGGACTTCCGACAGAGGGCGACATCTTCTCTCGCCTTTCTCGCTAGTGGCGAACCCTCCGTGCAGTTCGTATATAAGACAGATCAGGAGAATAGTTTAACGTGGTCCGATGCTTCTCAGGTAAGGTTAACGATCAGGCTCGTAACACGCATCATGAGTGGCGGCTTCTCTGCATGTGTTGTGTAAATACCCGTTAACAGGGGGGAAGTCCCCCCTTGATTAGCGGGCCCCACTCACACATCGCGAGGAGTCTCCTCTTCTCGCACCCTCCACAGCCACAGTTAATTGTGCTGCGTTTCTCCAAGTGGTGTTAAATGCACCGTCAATAACAGTTGATGCTGTGTTTGTTCTCTCCCTGAAATGTGTCTCTCGAAAGTTAGGGTTAATCGTATCACCATTCACTGTAGAAGCGACTTTGACTGCTTTTTTGATATTTTTGAAGAGCTCTTCCCAGAGTAACACGCCTCTTGGAGTCTCACAAAAATCCTTCTCGTAATTACTTTAAGTGGGTTAATTAATAAAAGAAATTGCGATGATAGAAAAATTATGAGATCATCTTCCGAATTAAAATGTCTAAATTCCTGAAATTAAATCCTGGAATGGAACTTTTAAATTGAGCATTATTTATCTTATGAATTTTATTAAATATCCAGGCAGTAATTAATTATTCCTACGAGTGGGATTACTTTATGCGGTCTAATCGTTACAGAGATGTGGCTCATAAATTGTATTCGGCTAGCTCGTTACTCTCATTAAATTTTTCTGCCATTAAGTGAAATTGCAGTTCCTCTTAGAAAGGTGCATCAAATTACTTGGCTCTGAAACGAGCGACCGAGAAAATGCCAAAGCAGTGAGACGCAATGATAATGTCGAGAATTACCCGAGAAGTGCAATGGAAAAAGTACGTTCTTTTTTATTTTTTACTCCATCGTATGCATTGAATTTTTTGTTAGACTGTTTAAGCGTTCCACGAGCCTTCATAAAAGTCTCTGTTGCTTGTTTGAATCATCATCCAGGGGTTACAGGCCAATTATTCAGTGAATTAATTATGAAACGCGGTAATGTAAATAATATGTTAATGGATGAAAACGACAGTATACGGGAATCGAGTCAGGATAAAATAATCGTGTCAAGTCAATATCATACAATCGCATTATTTCGACTTCGTCGCTCAACGATATCACGTGGAAATATTTTCCATAATCCGTTCGGTTATTTCGCGTCTAAAATGTTAATTATGCGTATACGTAACGAGCAATGACAGTCAGGTGATCGAGTAATTAAAGCAAAGGTGGCTTGCATCCAGTGACTTTAATTATTGACCTGCTTGATAATGCAGTCATTGCGAGAAAAAATAGATTATCGGTCTTTAAATTCCAGGTACTTCATCGGGCACTTTTTTTTTTCAGGTGTGTATGAAATAAGTGCATAATGCACTGTACGGTGCATCCACCTCGGGAAGAACAGCGCACCAGTATTAATTGCACCATTTCCCATTTACCGTTCGATCGTGAACTCGTAGATTAGAATTCTGTCTACTCCCCTTCTTCTGTACACAGTAAGTAGTGCGACCGACAATTGCCCAGTCAAAACATTAATCCTATCTAAGCATGACTGATAACAGCTCAAAAAATCACGCTTCTCGATATTTTCAGATCGAGCGGTGTCGAAGTGCAAATTAGCCTGCACTTTTGGCCAGTCGTGACTTTTCAATCACTCATCGAGTACGAGGTCAGGATTTTGGATTCGCTTGTCAATTCTGATACCATATAACAGATAAGGAGGCTGATGCGTGCAGAAAAGTGCACTTCCAATCTTGGCGAACTTCAAAGATCAGAGTCTCAAGTCGGCAACACTAGCACACGTTAAAAAGATCCATTAAATTCACACACCGTTAGTACACAAAGTCGTGCCGAAAAGGAATGACGTAATTTTAAATAATATAACATCACGTCGTTATTTTCCGAAATCCTCCTATATTTAAATCACACGTTAGAAATTTACCCCACGTGTTCGTAAAACATATACCAAGGGTGTTGTAAAGCTCCAATAATTTGTTAACGTTGTGGCGATAAATCGTAGCGATTTCCAACCTGTGTAGTTAAATCGTGTTTATTTACACGTTATTCCCTTGACAAGATTTATCGCAACAATTTGTCGTTACGTTCGTAGCAACCTTTACTGACTGGCCCACTAACCGAGCGGCGACCTACATATTCGCGAATGTATGTACGTAAAGTATGTATATACATGCACATACTTCCGATATACGTTGGAGAATGCGTTTCTCGAGACGGAATCGGTGGGAGGCCGAAATTTACTCTTCAAACATACATCGTATTAGCGTCTTCACCTTCCCGCGCAAATTTAAATCCTCTCGCGCATGCGTTCTACGTATAAGTTCGCGCATGCGCTGTTAGTATAAGTTCGCGCAGGTGAAAAACCAGAAGGAGCGACTGCATGCCTGGAGAACATCAGGGCCAACTACTCTTAGGGTTGAACGACCGTCCGTGGATTGCGGATTTATTTCCGAGAGCTTAGGCACGTTACCGTGAACGTTTCTTTACGGAAGAAACGGTAGAAGGAAGTATTTAACGGGTTTAAGGCGTTACGAAAGTGTCATACATGTATGTGTACCAAAGTCAAGTATTTGTAAAATTTTCCTCAAAACTGGGTGCAAAGAATAATCTGAAACCTTACCACGTGATTACAGACGCCTTAATAAATTTTAAACCCATTTTTCGAAAAAAGAGAAAAAATCATTTCTCTTCCGGGATAAATAAAAAACAAAACATTTGTTATTTCCAAAGCTGAAATTTCCCGGGTTTTAACATCTTCATTAAGGTTTCCATAATCACGTGTTAACGTTTTTCACCCGTAATCATCGTATCATAAATCTTCACTTTATTTACTTGCACTTCACTGACGTAGGTAATTGCGATTAATAACGGTCGGTAAGAAAAAAAAACGAAAAATGTGAATCCGTTGTGTGAAGAGAGACATTTACGTTTTTATAGATACATTTGTGACGTCACTTAAGGATGATGGATAAAATGGCTCGATTTTTATTTAATGGGGAGAGAAGGGCGCAATTTTGTATCTTCGAGAGAATATCTCTAAGGTTTGGATGCATTGCTCTTTCGGTTAATTATCGAGAGAGTTGGGGTCGTCCTACCTTTCCAGGTTGTAAAAATTCTTAATCTAGGCACAGCGGCGTTACCGATTAACTCGCAATCTAGTCGCGCCTATTTCCTGTGAAAAATCGACGGCTTGCGATTAGGTCGGGTGCAGATCGATGGCGAAAAGGAACCCGACGTGTGTCGTTCTATACGACCGACAAATAGAGCGGGAAATTGTAGAGCCGGCAATGGAGAAAATCGGTTGCGTGGTCTAAGCTACAACGGTGAAATTCCCCATTTTGGAACCGCCGACGGAATTCCGTACAGGACGATTCCTCCGTTATAAAAAAATATCTATATTTTTTTACCCACCTTATTTGCACGGTTTACAAATATTTCGAGTTTTTGGTACACATATGCGCCGACGGAATTCCGTACAGAAAGATTCCTCGGGAAATTTTCACGATTCCACGGATAGAAAAATTAATTGCACTCACGGATGCAAGCCCCAGAGTAATATCGGCAAATTTTATTGCTTAGATATTTTTTTACTCCCCTTATTTGTACGTTTTATAAATATTTCGAGTTTTTGGTACACATATGCGCCGACGGAATTCCGTACAGGACGATTCCTCGGTGAATTTTCACGATTCCACGCATAGAAAAATGAATTGCACTCACGGATGCAAGCCCCAGAGTAATATTGGCAAATTCTAATGCTTAGAAATTTTTTTATCCCGTTTTACAAATATTTCCAGTTTTTTGTACACATATGTGGGACTTTCGTAACACCTTTAAATCTGTTTCTTCTTTCTAGGGGTAAACGTGGAGCTTAAGGGGGACATTGTCATAGAAGCCGTCCTAGAATTTGCGTAAGAGGAACTTCCACGGCAATATGGAGAGCAACTAAACAATTGTACGTGCAACTAGCAATTTGTACGTTTGACAAATATTTCGAGTTTTTGGTACACATATGTGGGACTTTCGCAACACCTTTAAATCTGTTTCTTCTTTCTAGGGGTAAACGTGGAGCTTAAGGGGGACATTGTCACAGAAGCCGTCCTAGAATTTGCGTAAGAGGAACTTCCACGGCAATATGGAGAGCAACTAGACAATACCTGCTCGTTACACCTGCGATTCTCTGTAGTATCCGGTATATGTAGTTACGTAGCAAGCCGTTCAGGAAAGGAAATGCGAAACTGGTCTCCTGTCTCGATAGACTGCATCGTTGGTTTAGGTTTATTCACCTGCAGCCGGACTACTTTCTGGATATTCCACTTTTTTCAAAGGGTTTCCCCATTAAGGAATTACGAAACTGTCATGTATATATATATATTTTCTTTTAGGTTTTTTGATATAATAAAATATAATATATAAATTTGATAGATAAAAATACCAAAGGTCCTTTAGGTGTTATGCTAGATGACATAGCTGCAATTTTAGCCTGTGTTCTTATAGGAGCCTTTTATTGTTTATTGTTGCCGTATGCAGGATAAAAAAATTTATTATTTAAGCTTAATTGTTCAAAATTTAAAGGATTATATACTGTACACAGGGAATTTATCTGAGTGGGAAGTACACGATGCATTTGATAACGTTACATTTACAATAAATGGTACTAGGGAGTCATTATTTAATTTTGTGTTCTGTGGAGATCAATGTATATATATATATATATACATATCAGAGGCGGACGACGCCACATTCTAAGGATAAAAAAAATTTCCTTCTTTTTTGATATATATATTTTTGTGAAAAGTGAAATATTTTCAAGACCCTTTATTTCTAAAACCTTACCTTTAAGTCTATTAAGTCAGTCAGATGTACAAATGTTTATCTATCCACTGTTTTACATTGGACACAACTGCCGAGGTTGTATATATATTAACATACATGTATTAGCGTATCTGACAGCGAGATTCATCTTCGTCTTTAGGATATAATTTTGATTTGCATTTTATATCCTCTCGTTGCGCTCTCCTCCATGCAAAGTGCCGTCTAGACATATCGCTTCTCTTTTTACCATGTTGAGTAAAAGCTGAGAGCTTTCCAGGATCTACATTAAGAAATGCGTAGAGGGTCGATAAGTCGTCACACTTACGAGGTTTTACTTTCTACGGGAATTCCTGTGATTATTGACTTTCGGAGTGGGTCGGATTTGCTTAGGACTATTGTTGACACTGATGAGTATTTATTTAAAAGATGGACCTTGGTGTATGCAGACTCAGTCTCTTGGATGATGCGGTCGTACTCGATCCTCGCCGTTCCTTTTCTGGCTAGGCTTTCCTTAAGTTGCTCGATTTTGCGGGACATTCTCTCGGCCTCCTTCTGCAGGCTGTTCTTTTCTTCCTCCTCGGCGTCGATTTGCGCCTGGATATTCATCCTAGTGACCTTAAGTTCCTCTATACCTTCGGGATAAAACGCGAGATTGGCCTTACTAGCTCATAAACCATTATTAGTCATTAAATTCTCATTCATTATTAAGAGTCATTAAGGTGAAGTGAAACACGTCGAGGAACTTGATCAACGTCGATAAATAAGATTCTTCTAAATGCCTACGTTGCCAACGTTGGTTTTTATATTAACAGCTCTGTCGAATTAAATTGAATATTGTGCCAAATGGCATACTACACCTGTCGTTTTCGTAGAATAAATATCAAGAAATCGAAGTAAAACTCCAGAAATCCTCTGGATTCATGCTTTCTGGAGGCCTAATTGACTGCGGAGGGACCCCCTGCGCCATCTGTGTATTTCCAGGTCAATTAAATTTTCACTCCGAGACCTCGTATTACCATCGTTTTNATAACACTTTAAGGGTAGATAATAAAAATCTTACGGACATTTCATCAGTTCTGAATTATACGTCTGTAGCGTGTCACCAAATTGATTCGCCATAAATATATCGACAGAAAATTAATGAGTTAGATGTCGAATGATCTGCAGAGCCTCGTATCTACAACTCGCAAATTGCTAATGAATAATAAAAAGAGGAATTAATATAATATCTCTAAAAGTATTCTTCACTGGAAATTTTCTAGATGCTTTCAAAACGGGTTACAACATTTAGCACTATTTTTGGTCGACCAAGAAGTTCGCGATTATAGTACGTTTTTGTTTTTCGAGTTGACGTCTGTCTTCTTCGTAAGATTTACGAATGAAATTCTCTACGTTAATATATAGGCGGTGTCTCGATTATTCACTGACAATGAATTAATAAATTCAGACATTATCATAAGTTCATGTTATATTGTTGAATAACAGGTGTTTCGGGGGAACATTAGTGTATCGATACAATAATGTTCAACGTATCGTTAAATCGAAAAGGACATTACAAATGTTCCTAAATGTCCTAACAATTGTATGGAAGGAAATTAAAAAAATTCAAAATTCCCTACGCAGTATTTGACCTAATTTAACTAAACATTTTTAAACTCCTAGATTTATCACCGAAGAGAATTTTCTTAGTGGAGACTTATGCGGAATTAGTAATCGTTACTTGAGAGTGCACTTATGAAATATGTTTGAAAGATATCAAAATGGTGAAAAAACATTAACGGTACAAATCATCTGCTTAAGTTAGAAACGTTATCGTCAAGTTTTAACATTTTCTTCGTGGTCACTTAACGGCACTGGCTATTAGTAAGCAGAACTTTGAGATTTCATTTCTTGATTTCGGTAATACTTCATCGAATATGTACAAATCTTTTTGTCCTTAGTATGTGGCGTCGTCTATCTTTGATGTGAATCAGTACAGAAAGTACAACGTGGGCGGCATAATTAAATAATAACGGTTCAGTTGGCAGACGGTACTTCATAGCTTACATGAATTGAAATGCATTAAAATTGTATAGCGGTTCCTTTCGATTAGCTGTTCCTTTTGCATAAATGAATCGCTACGTGGACCGTGTCACTTATGACTCGTTAAGGAAGCTTTCTTCGAGGTTATGGTACACCGTTAGGTCGTGATTGAGGCTAAAACATAAATAAACGAAGTGTTACTTCTTTGTAAGTGAAATAAAAAATATATAACGATTAGAATTCGTACTCTTTAAAGCCCTTGGCGACTTCGGGTGCTTTCGAAGGGTGACAAACGATAGTGGTCTTGCACAGTTTTGGATCGAGGAGATCTTGCAAATACTTTTTGGTAACTCGAGCAATGTCATCTATCGTTACACCAGATATGCGTTGAACTAGTTGACGATTGTAATCGTGGGGCACATTTTTGAAGTACGACAGTAACGACTGAGTAACCAAATCCCCTATGGTTTTCTCTCGGTAGATGATCTCAAAGATCAGAGATGACTTGGCTGATTCAAAGAGAAGACGCTCCCATTTATTCTTAGAAATATGACTTTCCTAAAATCAGATTGAATTTATTATAATTTAATAAGAGTGACTAGCACTAATTTGTAGGGTAACAATCGTCTTTTCATCGTACGTACAATAATTGACTTGGCTTCTTTGTATGCACCAACGACATTTGTTGCTCTGTAGAAACTTAAGTACGAAAGCCCTTCGTTGGGTCTAGTGAAAACATCATAACTGTATACGAGACCTTTCCCTCTTATTTGTCGCCACATGGCACTCTAAAAAATCAAGTTGACGTTAATAATGTAACCTCTAAAATCGTATGTACATATACGCTTAATAATTTATCAATAGATTCCATTTAATGATAAAATTTTTACCTCTAACTGAGTGAGATATTGTAATCCAACAAGTAGAGGAGCCAAATCTGGACTCTCAAAGTCTTTAATTCCTTCGGTACATTGACAAAAGAAAGCAGAGTCTACACATCCTAGACCAGTTACGCAACTTTTTGCTGGCACCTCCTCTGGCGTATTCATCAACTTCCAATCAGGTGTTGTGTTAAGCCTTCATAAAAAATTTAACTTGTTTGTAATTATAGGCTTTCGTTAAGAACGTGAAATCACTGAAACGGATACTTACTTGCCCTTCTCCACATTTTTGAAGTTACTAAAAAGAGTGTTCCATTGCAGGTTGAGATCGGGGACTTGCATGGCTTGTTTGTCAACGTTCATTGCCAAATATAAAACCATATTTTTCGGAGTAGTTAAGATTTTCCTAACTGTCTCTATTTCTGCGATGACTTCCTTCTGCGTGGACTCGTTGCCTAGCCGTTCCATTACTTTGTTAAGGAACTTTTGCTGGTGTAATAAGTTCGTAGCATAATGATTACTATCTAAAAGGCGTAATAGGTGTTCGTTATTTAATGCTTGACACTATTAGACATATTCCAATTGGAATTATAGATTTACCTTTATTATAGAGTAATCCTTTCATCAGATCAACAACAATTTTACTCCCTCTTCTTTTAACTTGAGGCACTTCGTTAGCGATTTTTGCAGCAATGATTTTCAATCGTTCCACTGTAAGTTCAGTCTCATATAGGAGTTCCTTAACCCATTGGATTCCCTTGTTATATTTAGCTGGCTCTAACTGCGGAGGATAAGGAAGATTATGTCTTATCCTTAATTCGTGTATAATTTATAATATATTCAGTTATTCATTACTTGAAGCATAAAATTAGCAGTATGACTGTATGCTCCACATGAAAACCTGGACGTATTTTCGAAGCCTTTTCTTGTACTCGTTGCTACTGTGTCCGCTTCCAATTCTGAAACGACACTTTCATACGGTATGAGTTTCCCGTCTCTTTTCACTGGACACTCCATAATAGCTTCTAAGAGCAAGGGAATATAAGCCCTGTATTCTCTCGGGATTGAAGACGTATCCATGATGATGAACATCTATTAAATAACGTACCATATTGTGTTCATCGATCCAAATCCTTCATAAGGAAACCTCTTAGGTTAGGAAAAAACTTACGTAAACAAAGTTTGTATTAACATGATCCAAGTAAGTGTAGAACGGCAGATTACTGACATCAAATCTGGGATGTTGTTCTGGTAAATCTGTCGAGTAACTCTTGATTTGATGAAAATTTATCGAATCAGTGTTGGGAATTGGTACCGATGTAAGCACTCCATCAGGGATCGGTGTCTGAAAGTAATGCAATGACGGAACAAATTGATAATGGATGGAAATAATTTGTTTAATACAGATCTGATTAAACAACGTACCTCATTTTGCTCTACTGCCTTTCGGAACTCAGCATCCTTTTTATGAAGACCATCCACTCCTAAAAGTTTGATCTGTTTTGCAACGCGATCTTTCTCCTTCTCTGTCAATTCCTTATGCTTTTCCACGCTGGGAACTCCTTTGATAACTGTTATAGGTGCGTCAAGCATATATTTTTTCAAAAGATTAATCCAATACGACATGGGCTCTTTACTTAGTTTCTCCAGGTCTTCAATTTGATTCAATCGTTGGGACAACTATTATTGAAAAAAGAAAAGTAGAGTACGTTGACAATTAAGAGATTTTCCAATAAAAGCTAATCATAATAGTGACTTACATCTTGTTCTGAATTCCCATACAGCACATCTCCGATCAACATAAATGCAACTGCATTGTGTGGGTCATTTTCCAGGTTGCTCAGTGTTTCGAGAATATGTCTATGAATAACGGTGTCAAGTCTTTTCATATCGAGCATTGTTTCACCTTCGCCGATGGCTTTTAGGACTTTCATTAGTCGATCCTTGACCAGAGGAATCTTATCTTTTGGTACACTTTCAAACATTAAATATATTATCGATACAGAATTTTCAACCAGTGAAAATGTCACATTGGTGGCGAACGGATCACTTATTTCAACAAATTCCTTTTCTAGGGGACTGACGGATGTGTCGGTGAGGTACTTCAAGAGAATCGAGCACCCTATGAGATCGTACACCTCAGTGACAGCGGAAGGGCCTCGCCAACCAACGTTCACAAAGCCATTATCTTCGTCGTCACATGGATAAGGTACTACTAGGTCTACGCTTTCAGTGAAGGGTGGCACAGGGCTTTGCCAAGGTTTTTTAAATGGTCCTCTAGGACCCTAAAAAAATTATACAGTAATATAAATTAACGATAACAACCTGTAACGTTAAATATTTAATGGTATACATACTTTTGAAAGAATCTTCTCCTCTAAGGGATGTAGTGCCTTGAAAACATCGGTATGTTTAACTTGTCCTACTATGACAATAGTAAGGTTTTCTGGCCGGTAGAATTCTTTATGGAATTGCTTTACTTTCTCATTGGTTGTACTTTCTCTCAAGTTCTTTAACAAACCTATAGCAGTAAGGGAAGATTTATACTTTGTTCATTAACTTTGTTTTACAAATCGGTTAATTACCTCCAGTTGCGGACTTATATCCACAATGTCCTGGATACAAAGCTCTTAACATTTCAACATGAATTAAACATTCTGCTGTGTTTTCCTTCCCTTGCATCTCGCAATAAATCACGCCTGCATCTTCACCTTCTCCCGTAATGTGATGTACTTCGGTTAAAAAAGCAGAATCCTATGTGAATAATACACAGTATCGAATAACGATATATAAAGACCGGAAATAAATGAAAACCGATTGAGATTTTTCAAGCGTGCAATAAATCTTGCCTGAAGCACTGGATAAAGTATGTGCTCTAGGTATATCGGCATGAGAGAAAGAAATCCTTCGCTGCCAGCAGTAGTCATCGTATAAACGGTATTATCCGTGTCCGTCCAGGCATTGGTTCCCGAAGCGAGACATCTGTTTGCCAAGAGGTCCAAAATTCCTTTGTAGGGGTACTTCTCGCTTCCGAGAAAGATGAGATGCTCCAATGTATGTGGCAGCCCATCGTCGTCGAACGCTTCGGTAGCTGCGATTGAATTAATATTAAATGAAATAAAATCGCCAAGTACCAAGACATATTAAAGAAATTAGTAGAGTTCACAGACTGGATAGTTTGTATGCACTTTATCTTATATTTTCAATGCAGGTTAAATTTGTGTATCTGTATTTGAAGCGTGGAGAGAAAATAAGTGAGGTTAGACAACACTTTACCGAGGCAAAAGTAGCCGCAGACCACTGGGCCGCCAACTTCGGCAATTACAACAGTTAGACCAGTATTCGTAGATTTGTACTTATGCACCGGGATCGTGTCATTTGATTTTAGGGAGCAAACTAGCTCAAAACCACCCATGTTGCTTGCCGGAGAGTTATCAACAGGCGCCATCTTGGAATATTGCCAGGTGCGCAGATCACTTGCGCAGGTGACTCTCAGGTGCTCTAACAAGATTCGGATTACCCTTCGATAATTATTCATTCTAATAATAAAAAACACATCGCCACCTCAAAATGACGTCGCAACGCGAATACTAAAAACATTCCATCATATTTTTGGATCCATCTCGCGTGATCCCTTTAATTATCAGTCAAAATTGTCTATGAAATAAATAACAGTTCGCTTCTTCATGCACTCTTCATCTCCTTTGAAAGAAATTAATTCATTATCCATTGAAACAATGCACTACGGTGCACAACGGAGTTCTATTCTTTAAATACTCTTAAACGTGGCCCACGTTAACGTTCGCATTCACTGTATACATTTTTGAGAAAAATGCTCTGCTGTTAACAAATGACTGTTTCGCTTGCAATGGTGCAGTTCTTTAACGCAATTAATGATGTATGAATGATAAATGCGTCGTTCGCATAAAACACGCAAGAAAAATGTTCTCCTTTTAACTATTCGCGGAATAGTTAATATTAATTCGGGAAACGGGGTGCCCTTTACGCATTCTCACTTCGTAGCTTTAATCCAATCTATTTCTAACGCTGATACTCCAGGCTGATTATCAGGAAGATACGGTCCATTGTCAATTTTTAGACTTATACTTGTGATCATTGACGTGTCCAGAGGATGCGATTGCAGTGATAATTCCTGACCTCTGTGGTAAGGCTTAAAATTCGACAATGGCAGCTTCACCGTCGCCAATTCGTCCTCCGGTACCTGGAAAATTAAAATTGTTAACTGCTTCAAAAAATTCGCTTATATGTAAACTAGACATTTAATTTCTTCTAAACAGGGTTTCTATCCCGTTAAAAATGATATCTTAATTTTATAACATTTCGTTGTCAGTTTTAATCAATCACGGTGTAGTAATTCTGTGAAGTATAAAGAAAAAAATTATATATAAGATACGTTATACATTTAGTATATAAGTGTATAGACTTTCCTGAAGAATTTCGTAGACTTTATGAAATTATAAAACGATTTTGAAATATATAGCAAATTTCTATTGACGACTTTTTCTTTCTAAAGAATTTTGGGCGGCTATTAAGGTTAAGTGAAACCCCCTTCAAATCAGTCGATTCGAATACAACACTTTTTTTTAAGGGTATTAGACCAAACTATTCGAAATTTTGACACATCACTCCTGATCATCTAAGAATTGTCCTAGCACATTCAAAATTTGGATTTTTGGAAGAAATTTTTTAACTCAGCCCAGACCAGAACCAAAATGGCGTCGAGCTCTGATATTTCGAACAATATACAATTATCGAAGGCTCTGATATGAGAATCGAAAGGGTCAGGACAATTTTACGACAATTTAAAACACTCTGGTGGTCGATAAACTCGCATTTGAACGGGATAAAGGCAAAAAAAGTGTTGTTTGCGCTTCTATGCTAAAACGATGGTAATACGAGGTCTCGGAGTGAAAATTTAATTGACCTGGAAATCACAGATGGCGCAGGGGTCCCTCTGCAGTCAGTTAGGGCTCCAGAAAGCACGAATCCAGAGGATTTCTGGAGTTTTACTTCGATTTCTTTATAATTATTGTACGAAAGCGACAGGTGGAGTATGCCATTTGGGACAATACCCAATATAATTCGACCCAGCTGTCAATATGAAAACCAACGTCGGCAACGTAGGCATTTAGAAAAATCTTCTCTATCGACGTTGATCAAGTTCCTCGACGTGTTTCACTTCACCTTAAAAATTGTAATTGCACCGCAGTTTGTGTACCAAAGGTGTATGTACTTGTTTTTGTCGAACATTTTTTCAACAATGCACGGTACAAGACTGGGCATTTTTCATCCCTTCGGAACTTCTTACCGTGAAAACTTGTCCGTATATTGGCGACTCCTTTCCTAGTCCTTTGTGTCTAAGAAGCATTTTGTATTTCAGGTTCGCACCTTGGCCTCGGCACTTCATTATTATGCAGCGCACGGAGGAAAGATTGAAGCTCCCGTCGCAACGAATCGCAGCAAACCCAGACCCGTTTGGCTGGGGGTTGAAGAGGGTGAAGAGCACGGCTCTTTGGTAAACTTCCGTCTTTTGCATAACGAGGACTGCCTTTGACATCCCGGCAGGTCTCGTGGTGTCCGAACTCTCTACCCAGTTGTCCACCTCGTCGGAGCGCGTGAAGTCGAACAACGTTTGCACGGTCCTACGATTCGAAGTCGGTCTTCTTAATGAGTCTTAAAAATACACATGATCATGTTTCTACTAGAGAATATGTACAGCGAGGCTAAATACTACATGGCAAACTACGGCAAGAGATTAAGGTGAAGTGAAACCCCCTTCAAATCAGTCGATTCGAATACAACACTTTTTTTTAAGGGTATTGGACCAAACTGTCCGAAACTTTGACACATCACTCCTGATCATCTAAGAATTGTCCTGACACATTGAAAATTTGGATTTTTCAAACAAATTTTTTAACTCATTCCAGAGCAGAACCAAAATGCCGTCGAGCTCTCATATTTCGATCAATATACAATTATCGAAGGCTCTGATATGAGAAACGAAAGGGTCAGAACAATTTTACGAGAATTTAGAACACTCTGGTAATCTATGAACTCGCATTTGAACGGGATAAAGGCAAAAAAAGTGTTGTATGCGCTTCTTTGCTAAAACGATGGGAATACGAGGTCTCGGAGTGAAAATTTAATTGACCTGGAAATCACAGATGGCGCAGGGGGTCCCTCCGCAGTCAATTAGGGCCCCAGAAGGCATGAATCCAGAGGATTTCTGGAGTTTTACTTCGATTTCTTTATATTTATTGTACGAAAACGACAGGTGGAATATGCCATTTTGTACAATGTCGAATATAATTCGACACAGCTGTGAATATAAAAACGAACGTCGGCAACGTAGGCATTTAGAAAAATCTTCTTTATCGTCGTCGAGCAAGTTACTCGACGTGTTTCACTTCATCTTAATTTCATGACAGGGTCGAAACGCAACATTTCTACGTTTTTACGATGCAACGAAGGAACTCCTTGGAATTAATTGTTTATATTAATTGCGATTATGTTAGGAGGTGGTCGCGATAAATGTGCCCATAATTATGAAAGTGGTCTAAGTCATATATTTTTTGTTTCGAAATTACATTGAATTAATTTCGTTTGAAATAATATGCCGTGAAATAACTGATAAACTCATTTTTTTTTTTTAATTTTGACTTAGACCACTTTCATAATTATGGGCACAAATACGTGATTTAATTCATTTGACGAATACGTGAACTAACAAATTATATGGATTTCATTCAGATGAGGAGGTACTGGCAATAAACCCACTCCCAAGTTGTGCGGAATCGATGCGGAAGTATTAATGTCACGTTCCTCAATTATGCGAGATCCGAACATGTATTTCAGTTTCTCGGTAATCCGTCTTTTACCGATCAATGAGTCGCTCCGAGTTTGCATTTCATTGATATCGGGTAGAGCTTTGCATTAAGTCGATGCGAAATACCTCAATACGTAATCGTTACTTAACGGTTTACTTGGAAACAACTAAGCGACCTTTGTTTCGCGATTATGTACAAATTTATACATAGAAACTAGGTGTAAACGCGAAGGCGAACATCTCTCGTAGACCACGTTTAAATAACAATACCATGTACAATGAATTATATATCTCTATCTTCGACCTTTCAAAATCATTGTTAGATGTCTTTACTTAAACTATAATGTCACTATTATAAAAATCGACACGGGTATTCACGTAGCGCATTTACCAGGACGTCGCAGGATTATTTATACAGTATCTCGTAGATACAGATTTTTTTTAGGGGTTTTTTTAATTAGTTTTAGTTGTGGTTTTACATAAACAACTCTCACCGGGAGGCTGAGGCGACCATTCTTTCGCGAAGTTATATCAGAACTGGCTGAACTATTTCTAGAAATCGATCATAGGTCTCTTTCTGTTAGATATGTATAAGGAACGTATGTCAACGATTTTCGGTAGCCGTACCAGTTACATCTACGAGTTTGTCTCCGAGCTCGCGTGTTTTCCTGTCGTTAAATAGGAATAGCCATCTTCATTTTATGTATAAGTCCCGTCGAGCTGGTCTTATCGCAAGGAAATTTTTATCATCTCTAGTCAGATCCCTTTTATGGCCGTCGTTGCGTTTCATTGTACTTTTCACGAGATGTCGTTTCCTTAAAGTAATAACCAAGGTGGCAGTAAAACCCATGACTCTCTTTACTTATTGCCAGTTCGGTTCGACCTCGTGGGAACCGTTTGATCAATTTCTGTGGAAGAATGTCCGCGAGAGAAAGATTCTTTTAAACATTTCAGACATTTTACGTAAATTTTCTCGCAACTTATGTACAGATTCTTATGAAGTTTCTTAATGCGTAACGACGGAATGGCGTTTGCTTGAATGCCTTTTATTAGACTTCCGGTCTTTTACCGTGCATCAGTTCCATTTATAAAACGACGTTATATGGGACACCTTTTGTATTTTTCCTCAATCTATTGATCAGTTTATTGATTAGGAATTTTTCGCACTTTCTGCACTCGTAACACGCGGGCAATAATAATTAAATGTCTAAGCATTACAATAAGTGCGGATTATAAAAATGACCGAATGCATTTGTGTGCAACATGCATATAACGTTTCCATTACTTAATGACTACCTTTAGCAGGAATTAGTATTTTTAATGCTCCTTACGTTTGACGAGACGCATTCGTCGACTCATTGTTAGTCAAATTTGAATCCGAATGAGAAAGTCGACCGAGACTTCCGGGTGGATGCACAATTCGCATAACTCGGTGTTGCACATTTGTTATATTCGGCACACTGGCTTCTCTCAAAGTGTTACGTCGAGTTTCTCCCATGTTTTAAATCGCATTTTGCCATTAAAAATATCGCGCTAATCCTCGAGGAGGTCGTATACGGACTGCAGGGAGAGAAAACGGAAAGAACTAGAAACGCATACCGGAAGTCCCAACGATACTGACATTTAAACAATTAACATAATTTAATCACTTATGGAAATGACTGCACGGGGAATCGCGGAGCTGATTCTTCTTCGGTACTATCGCGGATATTAAATTTACTGCAGCCGGCGGTTCGCTTTTAACTGGCCATCTATCGTCATGAAATCCCGGCGAATGTTCGATGAATTTACTCGCGAATTACCTTTAGAACAAAGTTACTTATTTATCGAAGGTACATGCATCGACGAATCAGTACTTTAGAGTTTCATTAGATGGCATGACCGTGAATGGGTCGGCGGATCGATGCAAATACCTCGTCGGTAAACAGAGAATTGAATTTCCCTCGTAAAACCTTCAGTAAATATTATCTTTCCTTATCGCTACCGACAGAACATTAACTTGCAAAGGTGTAATTGTAGCATGGATTGTTAATATCACAATTATGAGACCTGTTGCAAATTTATGTTACACTGATGGTTTCTATTTCTAAAGCTGAGACTCCGCTTTGCTTGATCGGCGAGTAGACTCCTCCATAAATTTGTAACCCAAATGATGTTATATTCGAGGTGTCCAAAGGTTCTGCATCAGGGACTTCTCTACCTCGGTAGAAAGGTTTAAATTCCGCAAAAGGTAAAACCACGTTGGAGAATTCCTCGCTCGACATCGGCGCCTTGAATGAAATTCCAATTAATATTTTATATATCATTATTACACTGATAAAAATCGACCATGTAAATTTACATACTCAAGCATCGGTTGTTTTTATGCCACGATGAATTGCAATACAATTGCATCGTCATGCGGAACATCAGTTATGAGGTGTGTAAAAATGTATGGGAATTTCCATCGATTTTAATCAAGGTAAACAATATTTCTTTAGAAATTCTCGTGGATGCATTAGGTTAAGGAACTTAGTACTTCTCTTAAACTCACCGTGAACAATTGTTCATAAGTCACGTCCAAAGTGGGATCCATTCCCCACTGTCGAAGCAGGACTTTGTAATGACTATTGCTGCCCTGACCTCGGCATCTGATATCGAACTTCTGGTAATTAGACAGATCCAAACTCGTCGCTGTTATCATTCCTGCAAAACCAGCCCCATTGGGCTGTGGATTTAGCAGAGTGAAGAAGATGGCCCTTCGAAACATTTGGGTGGTCTGCAAAGCCAAAACTGCTTTCGATTTCCCCACAGTCCTGACCGTGTCGGATTGTTCCATCCAATTCTTGACGTTCTCTGTCTGAGTAAAATCAAACAGAGTCCGGCCACTCCTGCATAATAAAATCAAGTTAGTAAAATGTAGAAACAATCGATATAATTATGTAAAACATGCATACAAGTGTATGGATAGAAAAAGAATTCAAATTTGAATTATTTACCCGCCACTTGGTTGCATCAAAATGGCGCTCATGAGGAAGCCAATGAACAAACTGCGTAAAAACGTCTCTGGCAAAGTCTTTGGCATCTCCAACCCTAAAGATATCAGTTTATCATATTAAAACCTTGATTATTTCTCACCTTATACGGTTAGCAATGAAAAAAATGACAAATCATGGTATTCTTCCTAGAGTTATTTGTGCGTTACTTTTCCTGAATTTCCCCACAATTAATCGTTTAATCTAACCTCCTAAACTTTTCTAAATCTTGAGATAAAAGTGAAAACACAAACTGCGGAAATAAAAAAACGCGATATTGGTATCAGAGCTTCACTTAGCTGACTGTATGACCTCGCACGGTATTACCAGGTATTACGCTTATATTATGACTTCGGAGTATGTAATTTTATTCCATTTCCGGCGATCCGCCATCTCTCGGCAACTGCTCGCATTACGAGGGATTTATTAATAACAGACTCTATAATTATACATTTAAATTGTAGAAATTTTGATAACGCGGTTATGGTACTTTCCAGGGTTACGTTCAACCACCTGCACAGCGTCATTGAATTAGAATAGATTGAGTTAGACTGCATATAAATGTACTTGGAATACTTAGTATTACTGATCGAGCTGCCTGCGGGGTCGAGAAACTTATGTATTCTGTAAGCGCGCCTATGGTTGTGAATTTGAAATGAAGTAAATGAGGGAGACGAACAGTTTTCATCGCCCACGCTGTTCGAACTTGAATGTCCCGCGACCACGTGACTCGCGTTTGAAATCCGCGCCATATTATCAATTAAGATGGCGGCGGCTCTTTTCCGTGAGCGGCGTTAATCCATAAAATAGGTTAGAATAGGAAGAAAAATGGATGTTAATACTTCTTTTAATACTTCTCCGGGATTTTGCCCTGATTGTGGAGCGATTCTTCCGCTTTTGGGCGATGTTGGAGGAGTGACGTGTTATGCGTGTAAAAGGAAATGGGGACCGGAAGGTATGCGGTACCTAACCTAGTCATTTTTAATGTATATTAATTTTGTTTGTTGTCGAAGAGGACGTAAAATTCTGAGAGGCTAATATAATATTTCATCGCTTGTAGTTTTCGGAGATATGGCCATGTCTTACACTCTTTACTTCAATGCTAAGGATGCGTATGCTTCGTCGAAGAAAGATGATGACGACGAGGAAGATGTAGATGGTCCAATTGTAGAACGTAGGTGTCCACAATGTCAGAACGACCAGATGTCCTATGCTACTCTGCAACTGCGATCCGCCGATGAAGGCCAGACAGTATTTTACACGTGTACGAAATGCAAGTAAGTCGGATAAGGATCGCTAGATGTAACAGGGTTTATATGGTTTTGTGCTTTTCAGGTACAAAGAAACGGAGAACTCGTAACCTGCAATATATCTTGTTGAATGTACAGATCTTTTATACACTTTATTATTCATTGAATAAAACCAAACCAAGTGGAAATGGATAAATAAGGATTGTATGCATGGATTGCTTTAAGCTTCTAAGTTTGAAAATATTTGAGTTGTGGGAAACTACCATGTATTAATAAAACATAGAACTTTATTTATATTACATTCAACAAATAATGAGTAAAGAGTATACAAGCATATTTGTAATACTATGTAAGGAGTTTGTGATAATTTTGCTTTTAACAATAATTATCTAGTTTAATTGTATTTTGATCAAGTAATCTTGTATTTACAGAATATCCAAGTTAAGAGTTAACACTTGTCGTTAGTAAATTCATTTAAATCCACCCTAAAAAATGTCGCAGTGGTCCTTTGATTACAAAAGTTTAGTAGCAAGTAATTAGATAATCCCTTATTTACATTTGCATTCAATACTGTGCATTTCGATGTAACTATATTACAAAATGCTTGTGTCTTGACTCTAGCGAGCCGAAGATATGCTGTTGTGGTTATGAGAACACAAGTAAAACAAGGAACATTGCGACACAATTAAATTTTAACACGTTTCGGCAACAAGGCGCTACATAATATTCACTCATTTCCTTTCTCTTGCAAGAACATGGCATTTATACTGCGTAAAAGTAACGAACCTTTAAGAAATTCATTTATACCGTGCAAAGTCACATGAGATCGTTAGTAACGTATCTGCTTTTGTTTTTAAACCATCTTACAATATAGTTGAAAGGAAAACCTGTAAACTATAGGTTGTCGGCCTGAAAATAAGTACGAACTAAGCTTACGCTACCCTATCGGAGCAACAGGCTCAGAGGTGTTGGGTCACTCTTAGACTCCTCTGAATATAAAAAGTTCATCGTACAAACTCTGAATCTCACAGGTCTCTCGAACAAAAACTGCTGTATTGAGCAGTATCGCTCTAGGCCACTTCTTCAGCCGATGTGGTCCAAACTCATCCCCTGGACTATTATTTACACGACATTCATATTACATATCGTACATAAGGTATGTACAGGTAGTACATTATTTACAGAAGGTCTCCGTAAGTTCCTTGATCACGAGTTGCAGATTAATCGTGCCTCTGCCACGATCATGATCGGGTTTCGAAGCACTCATTCAGAAAGTTCTCCAGGGAGTGATAAAGATGCGCCCGTGATTGCGCTATTCCATGATCCTCATCCGTGTAAGTCTGTAAATAAGAAAGCCGTTAAGGCGCCATTTTGCGATCAATTCAAATATTCAAAATGGCCGCCAAGGAGGGTAGCGACCAGAGTTGACTTCAGACGGTACATCAGGTAAGAAAATGTCTTTTAACCGACGTTCATTAAGTTTCTCGACGTCTTTCACATCACTCTTGCCATTGTTATCAATACTATTATCTAACGTCCTCTTTTAGATATTCAAAACTCGATATTATTTTGCGTTTCTGAGCGAGTGAGCCAAATTGACGGCGACGGTTGATAACACACCTGTTGTCTGAACAGGATGTCGTTTTGCTCGAGGGTCTTCGCGAGCATCAGCGACTGCTGATAGTGCACGTTATCGTCCAAGGTACCGTGGATCAGATAATAGCTCTTTGTCCTCATGTTGTCCACGTTTTTCCCCAGCCGGCCTTGTTCGTAACCACCGAGATTGTCACCTCTCGTCGGCAGACCCATGAAGCGCTCCGTATAAATGGTATCTGCAATTGGAAGCAATTGGAAGCGGTAATTAATCCAGGAATCGATGCCGTCACATCCGTGAGTCCCTTTCTCAATTACCAGGGCGAAGAACGAAAGCTCACGAGGTTTTAACCCTGCAAAATGCATTTTGCAGGTTAGGTAAACGGGGCTTAACACCCTCAGGAGGTAGCGCGGAGAGATGCAGTGAAATTGTCGACGTTGGATTTTAATTTAGCCCGGAAAATGGAGCTTAAGAAAACGTATTTTGGGGCCAGATTGGCGGTGAGCGATTTTTAAAGCCTGATATTTCTTAACCGCGGCCATTTTGAGGACTGACCACGCGAAGGTGGGACCTTTTTTTGAGGAACTGATCGGCTATTTCTGATTGCAGGGAGGCGAGTCGATCGATCGGCTTACCGTAGAGGGCCCAGTCGGTGACAGGTGCCACCGACATTCCGCACTTGAAGACGCCATCGCGGTCCTCGGCGAGCGACATGCCCGTGGCGTAACCGCCGTAGCTCCAGCCCCAGATCGCCGTCCTGGACGGGTCGATGTAAGGGAAGGTGTCCTGGAGGTATCTGAAACCGAAGAAGCGTTATCAACGACTCGTATCGTCCATCACCCTGAGATACGCCGCGACGTCGGTTTTCCTGTTAATGTTCGAGAAGGGGCGCATAAATCCTCAGCTTCTTGCAGCCACCTCCAGGCCGTGAATTACGGCAGTGGCTACGTATCAAGCATTGCGGCACCAGCTAGTTTCGAAGACGAGCGACCATGGACAATCAAGGCGGGACCTACGTGGACGGACTTCGAGTTTAAGGCGAATCTACGAAAAACCCGAAAAGACGGTCGCAACTTCCCTCGTCTTGTGGTTGTAGACCCCAGGACGAGTATGACTCGATAGAGATAATGGATAACATAAAGCATGGATCTAGGAACGAAAATGTAACACAGTGCCGGCTCTAAACGCGGGGATCGTGGCGGCCATCTTTGGGTGTTGCGCATGGCGGCTCTCGAAGTATCATAAAACCCGCGAAGAAGGGCGTAAAGATTGTGAAATTAGACATTAATTTAAGAACAAATATTATAAATGACGATAACAGTTATCCTGTACGCCGAATTGCTGTCGAATTGTTTTTATGATACTTCTTAGGTGAAACCTCGAGGACGCCAGGAAAACAAGATGGCCGCCGCGCGTCACCTTACGGGTCACTCGCGTAGCGATAGATGCGTTACTTTTTTCTTTGATCCATGGGATAATATTAGATGTGCCAGTCAATTTGACCGGATTTATAGGGATAACTGGTAATAATTGTAGATAGATCTAGGGTTAAACGATTATTTTTGTCGCTGGCATTGCTAGTCGCCAGCAGATCCGCCACGAGTTGGGCGTGACCGGGACTCCCGGTGTTTTGCTGGCGCGTCGCGTCCGCCGCGTAAAAAGGCAGTCGCGAATTTGGAAGCTCGCCAAGCGATTGCGGAATTGCGAGCTTCGTCGTTTCACCTCCGTCGCTTCGTATCGCGCCGTCTCTCTTTCCGTCTCTATCTCTCTTTGCGCCCCTTTCGCCCCTTATCGCTCTCTCTGTCCCGCTGCGGTGCGCAATGCGCGATACGCGATGCGCGGCGTCCGTCCGCTTCGCACCCTGTTCCGAGGTCTCCTTTATACCCAAAGCTGGGAGACTTTCTTTGAAACGTTACGGCGGTAAAAACCCGGTTTACCGGAGATTTTTTTTCAAATGTAAGACATGCAAAAGGGTCACCGACTGCACGGAAAAAAAAAAAAAAAGACATTTGCGCTTTTAGCAAACGTCAAATGCCGATAAAGTTTTGCTCTTACTGCAGGAATAATCTCACCAATAACGTAAATATTCAGAATTGGCATCAAATCGTGGATGTAGCCATTTAAAAAATATGCTTGCTAAATTAACGAATGAATTAGCTGCTAAAAGACGCCTTTCGACCGTGAGAATGAATTAATTACTCAAACTGAAATCTAGCGAAACGTTTTATGGTCATTTTCTGTACTTAAGGTGAAGTGAAACACGTCGAGGAACTTGATCAACGTCGATAAAGAAGATTTTTCTAAATGCTTACGTTGCCGACGTTCGTTTTTATATTGACAGCTGGGTCGAATTATATTGTGTATTGTACCAAATGGCATATTCCACCTGTCGTTTTCGTACAATAATTATCAAGAAATCGAAGTAAAACTCCAGAAATCCTCTGGATTCGTGCCTTCTAGGGCCCTAATTGACTGCNTTTGTTGAAAAATCCAAATTTTCAATGTGTCAGGACAATTCTTAGATGATCAGGAGTGATGTGTCAAAGTTTCGGACAGTTTGGTCTAATACCCTTAAAAAAAGTGTTGTATTCGAATCGACTGATTTGAAGGATGGTTCACTTCACCTTAATTGAATTATTTTCGCTTCACCTTAACGAGAAGAAAATCGTCAGCGGGGTGGCCGAATTTATCGAGGCCTCGTGTCCGCGGGTGTTTCCTCCCATTCTCCACCCTTTCTCCATTCCTTTCCACGCTTTTCTTCCCTTTTCCACTCTTCCCAGAATCACGGTGCCGGGATGGAGTCCCGGATAATTTATTTCAATTCGACCCCGGAAACCGAGGTCCGTTCGGCCCCGACCGGAAGAACGGCCGGAGATAAATCCGGCGTCCTCGTTACCGATCCGTCGAATCTTCGCCCGGCTAATCGAATTCTTCTCCCTGATCGGTTCGATCCGATCGGGCTTAACCGAGTGCCCGGACCGCGATTTCGGTTTCAACTCGCCGACCGAATTTCTTCCGGAGACGCGTCCGACATTCGTTTCCGGTGGGAAAGAGTTAACTAGTTTGCTGGACACAATTTACAGAGACTTCCGCCCGGACTGGCTGACATTGTTGCTACGTTGGTGGCAATTATTTTCTGCAATTAGAGCCCAAGCCGAGGTACGACTCCCTCGGGATTCGGTGAAAACGATTTCCTTCTTGATTTCATACGATAAGGAACATGTGACATTATTGTATATCAACGACAACAATTTTTCGAAAAATTGGGCACCGCTACTTATGTACAAGCAATATCCTGAGAAAGAAATTGTCGGGCAATTTTACTTTCCGGCTAAATAATTGTTTCTTACAATTATACATGATTTGGGCAACTAATCTTTTTTTTTTTCTCGGTGAAGCGATGCGATTCATCTTGACAATGGGATATCTGTATATTTATACAGGCGGTACAATTTGCATTCTACGATAATTCATATGGAATTATTACTCTCGATAATCTCTCCAACCTACATACGCTCCGCTTCAATTTGCAGTACAGAGTTCCAAAATACTCCCCGCTCGAAAATCATTATCACCACGGTGTATTAACTTGCAATGCGGATTTTCATAATTTTCCACGGATTTTCAACGGGGATTCTTCGACTACTGCGATTCGCCGCAACGACTCGAAAATTATGCAGCTCTACTTCAATTTGCGATACAAAGTTTCAAAATACTCTCGGTTCGTTAATCGTTATTATCGCGGTATACTAATTCGCGATGCGAATTTCAACCGCGAATTCCACATCTGCAAGTGGCCGCATCTATTCGAAAATTATGAAATTGCGTCTCAATTTGCAATAGAAAATTTAAAAATACCCTCCAATCGCCCATCATTATTATCATTATATACATTAATTCGCGATGGGAATTTCCACCGCGAATTCCACATCTGCAAGTGGGCGCATCTCCTCGAAATGAAGTTTGAATGATGAAGTTGTGATTCGATTTGCAATACAAAATTTAAAAATACCCTCCGATCGCCCATCGTTATTATCAATACATATATTAATTCGCGATGGGAATTTCCACCGCGAATTCCTCATCTGCAAGTGGGCGCATCTCCTCGAAATGAAGTTTGAATGATGAAGTTGCGATTCGATTTGCAATACAAAATTTAAAAATACCCTCCGATCGCCCATCGTTATTATCAATACATATATTAATTCGCGATGGGAATTTCCACCGCGAATTCCACATCTGCAAGTGGGCGCAGCTGCTCGAAAATGATGAAGCGATTTGGGTCTTTACGAGGCGCCCTTCTGGACCGACGCGATGCGCTCGCTTTTACGTTTATGCACCCTGGAACGTAAGCGCACATCCTCGGGGACATCTCGTTGCGCGAGGTTTTCAGATGTTCCGCCAGGCAGCCGCAAAGTGCTCCCTCTAATTCCGTCGAGCCCTTTTTCATGCGGAGAAAACCACGGCCATGAAACGTCCGGGGTGTTACGAGGCGGGGCTCGTTAAACTGCCAAATCGAGCGTCCGCTAAGGGTGCGGCAGTGTAGCTCTTAAAATGCGTAAACTCCCTGAGCAAGGTCCTCCCACGCTGCGGAAACGACAACGGGTGACGACGGAATTCCTTCGAAACTGCGTTACGACCCCCAGCCGGCAAAAGTAACGCGAAGGTGCAAATTACAAGATTTGACTCGCCCTGCGCGCGCCACAAAGCGGCGCCCCCGGCGCTCATAATGCGGTCCAAATTACATTTTTTTCCCGGCGTACAAAGGCGCAGAAAATTACAGCTGCTGCCCCCGAGGCGGCTTAGGGGTGGCTCTTGGAAAATTTTCCCACCGCACGGGGACAAAACTCGGCTTTTCCTCGGCGTAGATTCCGAACAATGACCCTGTGACTCCGTCCAATTTTTTCGTTCACTAAAATGAAGGAGGCAATAATTATCGAAAAATAATACTCAGATTTTACGGGCAATATCGATTTTCCAAATGGCCGAAGGAAGTGAAGAGAGACTCTTGGACAATTTTCCCAGCGTGTCGAGGGAAATTCCGAACAATGACTCTATGACTCCGCCAGCTTTGTTGGTTCCCTAAAATGAGGGAAGCGATAATTATTAAAAAATCGAGATATACAAATTTTCTCCCCAATACGAGACACCCGTGTTCTCGTAAAGCTTTCCAACCACGGATAAGTTCAGCTTGGCTCCGTCATATTATTTTTATTAATTAAAATATAAGAGAAAATAATTGGGCAAAATTCAAGATGTCCAGAAATCGGAATTTTTTTGCATAACGGAATAGAGTCACGCAGACCATAGGGATCTAAATCCCCGTTTCGATCCCATTTTCGAAACCCCCCTTCGCCGTTTTCGCTTAGCCCGATAAATCAGTGCTATCGAACAGAGGAAGAAATAAACATTCCCTTACGTGTCAGTGGGTCCTAGAAGGGTTCCATCCAAATGAAATATCTGTCGGACCAACAAGCTCGGACGAGAGCGATTCCCCTCGATGCAGTTATAAAAAAAAAGGACGTAAATTAAAGCAAGTGAAGATTTATTTTCCGCCGGTTACGGCAGATTTAGTTGAATCTTTTTGCTCGGCCGTCTATACCCTCGGTCCCGCCTCGCTCGCTCCGTCTCTCTCCTTCGCCCTGTCCGCGGCATCGCTCGGTCTCTCTCCGACTAATGGACAGCGTGCTAGGCTGCTCCGAAACGCGGACGTCGCTCACGCCCAGAGGAAGGATTCCCGATTCCCGATTCTCGTCAATTTACCGCAGTTACTTCCGACCGTCTCTCGACGAGAACCTCTTCCATCGCACGTCGGAAGGACGCGAATCGCGAGCAAATCGCGAGATCTCCCCCAATGACCGGAACGAGACACTGAGAAATCCATTTCTAAAGGAGAACGTCCTGGAAAAATATTTCCCGATAAATTATTACTCACGCCCATATTTCTTCCGTGTTTATTGAATGTTCTGATGAATAAATCACGGCTCGGTAAAAATACACTGCTTGGAATAAAATTCAAGATGTAGAAATTTTAGACTAAAAAATTTTAAACGCGACGGTCGGATGAGGCGCACGATTAGGAAATAAAAAAATTAGTATTTATTGTTAAGAAAATCGGGATACGTGAGAATTCGAATGTGGAGTATCTAATAAGCTTTGGAATTAAATCTGTCCTCAGAAAAGGCTAATGATTGATGGAAATAATTTTTTTTTTAAATAAATACCATTAAAAAGACACGAAGAAAGACCCAATAGCTACAAAATGATGAATCGACCCAGGAAATGAAAATAGGAAACTTGGTAGAATCTCGCGCCAAGTGCATAAATATAATGACCAATTTTTAAGACATATCTCTAGGCACAAGGTAAGACCAACGATTATCAGCCGCGATATTATCAGTTAGATAGGGAAAATTGCAGAATCCCGATGCGACTTTCGCAAAACCGACCGTCTTTTTTAAACCTAGGTATTTCCGCCGCGTCTCGTCCATTCCGCATCCCTGGGGACGTCTTCCCCCGCGGAACCGCAACGGTCTTATAATCTTTACTCGCCTCCGCGTTTGATGCTTACAAATGCGGAAACGCTTTCCGCAATCTCGGCCGGCAATCGGTGCCGCGTCCAAACCGACGCGCTGCGGAATTTCGAGGCGATCCGCACTTTCCCGAGGTAGAAAAATCAGGTATTTCCATGAATGCCCGCGACACACACAAATACTCGAAAAAAGGGGCGACTCGCGTTACCACGTAACTCGCGTTTCGCGGGCGAACGCTCCCTCCGATTTCCTTTGCCGGAGTTTCCCCGCTCTTGCAGGTGCACCCAACACGGGACGTTTCTAAAAGCCATATCGAGCTTGAATAAATATTGCTTGGAAATAAAATAACCTCATTTGAGGGAGACCGCATTTCCCTCCGCGAGCGACGCACGGAAGAATTGCGATATAATTCTTATTAACCGACAACATTCTCCTCAACAGATAAGCCTAATAATTACGTCCTTTGCACATGACAATTCATTCAATTTAGGCCAGTTAAGGTGAACTGAAACATCCTTCAAATCAGTCGATTCGAATACAACACTTTTTTTTAAGGGTATTAGACCAAACTGTCCGAAACTTTGACACATCACTCCTGATCATCTAAGAATTGTCCTGACACATTGAAAATTTGGATTTTTCAAAAAAATGTTTTAACTCATTCCAGACCAGAAACAAAATGGCGTCGAGTTCTCATATTTCGATCAATATACAATTATCGAAGGCTCTGATATGCGAATCCAAAGGGTCAGGACAATTTTACGACAATTTACACCTTAAGGTGAAGTGAAACACGTCGAGGAACTTGATCGACGTCGATAAAGAAGATTCTTCTTAATGCCTACGTTGCCGACATTCGTTTTTATATTGACAGCTGTGTCGAATTACATTGAATATTGTACCAAATGGCATACTACACCTGTCGTTTTCGTACAATAAATATCAAGAAATCGAAGTAAAACTCCAGAAATCCTCTGGATTCAAGCTTTCTGGGGCCCTAATTGACTGCAGAGGGACCCCCTGCGCCATCTGTGAATTTCCAGGTCAATTAAATTTTCACTCCGAGACCTCGTATTCCCATCGTTTCAGCATAGAAGCGCATACAACACTTTTTTTGCCTTTATCCCGTTCAAATGCGAGTTTATCGATTACCACAGTGTTCTAAATTCTCGTAAAATTGTCCTGACCCTTTCGATTCTCATATCAGAGCCTTTGATAATTGTATATCGATCGAAATATGAGAGCTCGACGCCATTTTGGTTCTGGTCTGGGCTGAGTTAAAAAATTTTCTTAAAAAATCCAAATTTTCAATGTGTCAGGACAATTCTTAGACGATCAGGAGTGATGTGTCAAAGTTTCGGACAGTTTGGTCTAATGCCCTTAAAAAAAAGTGTTGTATTCGAATCGACTGATTTGAAGGGTGTTTCACTTCACCTTAACCTTTCCTGGGCACGATCCTGGGACGAGTTAATTTAACGGACGCGGATTTCGGATTACAAGTTAGAAGTTAGTTACAGCCGAGAGGAAATTACGGGATTAACGGACCCCTCGACTCCTTGCGGATGCTGAAGACGAGTGGACCAGGAAATCTTCTTCGGATTCCGGGAGGACCTGGATTCACATCTCGTTTTCGGGGACGAGGAAGTCCATTTCCTCCGATGAGCTTCCCACGAATTAGACCGACATTTATCCAGAGTTCGATTTTCGATTCACGTTCCTCGGGGCGATAAGGTTATCCACCAGGAAGCGCGACAATTTTATATATTCATATCAGGCTGCTTCGGAAGTTCATGACAGTTCTATTTGTAATATGCAAATACCTTAGAAGAAATTTATTGAAATAACTGCACCCACGAACTTACGGAGCAACTTAATTGGTCACTTTTACAGGTACCTCGCGTGTTCCTTTGATTTACCTGGTGACGTTTATTTGGTCGACGATTTCCACGGTGCCGAGGTTCCGGTATCCTGCGAACAGCATCCTGTTGCCTTTTAATCCGGACCCTCTGCCATCGATGACGGCGTAAATGATGCTTTTGTTGGTCACCAGATACGTTCCCCAGTCGACGTTGAACTTCTCCGTTACTTGGTAAGAATCTGGCCCACCGTACCTAAAAGTTACCAAATATTGTTAAGAGGATGTGAAATATGGATATCGATACATATATATTTTTTTCTCGAAAAATGAAATTTCACGGGTAGCGCATCCTTCCTTAGAGCCTCCGTAATCACGTGTCAATGTTTTAAATAATTTGGTGCACCCAGTTTGGAGAAAAATTTTATAAATATTTTCACTTCTTGGTATGTATATATCACACGGTACCGAATATTGTTAAGAGGATGTGGATACATATATATTTTTTTTTCTCGAAAAATGAAACCACGGGCAGCGCGTCCTTACTTAGAGCCTCCGTAATCACGTGTCAATGTTTTAGATAATTTGGTGCACTCAGTTTGCAGAAAAGTTTTGTAAATATTTTCTATTCTTGTATGTATATATCACACGGTACCAAATATTGTTAAGAGGATGTGGATACATATATATATTTTTTTTTCTCGAAAAATGAAATTTCACGGGCAGCGCGTCCTTCCTTAGAGCCTCCGTAATCACGTGTCAATGTTTTAGATAATTTGGTGCACCCAGTTTGCAGAAAAGTTTTATAAATATTTTCTATTCTTGTATGTATATGTTACGGTGAATGGCCGAAATTGGAGAATGTCGACTTTCACCGGTGAATGTCAACAGATACCAAATACGTCGGTGAAAGATCGAATATTTCATAACATTGTTGTACATTCGGACCCTCTCCAGTGTGTGTCGACAATCACACACCGGTGAATGTCAGCATGTACCGGTGTAAGTCAGAAATAAGGGTATTTAGCAAATATTTCGGACATACACTAACCGACTATGTGAATGTTGACATTCACCGGTGAAAGTCGACATTCTCCAGATTTCGGTGTTTCACCGTAACATATATATCACACGTTCATATCACCTTAATAAATGTGAAATACAGGCTCGGCAGAAAAATGATGACCTGACATGAAAATTAGGCATTGCGATGGCTTATCATTTTCAAAAAAGACGCTCATATCGCGGCTTGGTATCGACGGGAATTCAAATGGACGATTTCGATTGGTAGGCGGCTTTTCACGACCTCGCTGAAAGTTCTCGCGCCCGCCACTTCCTCCGCGAGGTCCATGAATAATCTGGCGCACGATCCTATGAGAGGAAAGAGGATTACCAACAACTACCGGTCGCAGGAGGCGGGGGAAAAGTCCCGGAATGCGGAGGCACGGCGGAAGAATCGCTACCAAGGAACGGCCATAAATCCCCAGGGAGAGGAGCGTCCCGGTGATGCTGGAATCTGGAGCCGAGCCTTCGGAGAGGAGCCCCAGGAGTTTCTCACGGGGCTGAGTTTTCCCCGGCTCGAGATTCGCACTTTCCCCCCGTAAACGAGCCTGCGAGATGAATTTCAAATTCCCCGCGAAATTTCCGACCGCTTTCCCTCGAAATTGGACCGCGCGGAAAAGAAAACTAGAGGGCCCAGCACGAGAAAATAATGCAAACTTTTCTACGCTACAGAGCCCTGCAATACCGACGAAAGTCGTTCCTTGGGAAAGTTAGCTGTGGAGATTTCGTCCGCAACGCGGATGCGGATGCGGAGAAGGTTTCGGCACGTATAGGTATTTTGGATATGTATATGAAGCTGGAATTGCTACTTTAGCACAATTCAATAAAATTTGTTGCAAAATTTATTGCTAATTCATTGCTATTTTATTGCCCAAGAGACAAATTTTTTGCTCTTATACTTTTCCGAAAAATGGTGGCGATGTCAGCTTTATATAAAGCTAACACTGCCACAATGAAAAACAATTATTAAGTAAATGTTCATCGACGAATTATGTACCAGAATTTATTGCTAATTATTTGCTCGCGGAAAAACCGAATTTCAATTTTTTTGCTCACCCCTGAAGGGGTGAATCGCCACCCCTAGTGATGATCGCAGGACAGAAACATGAAAAATATGGGAGAATCGAACTATTTCTTCACGTGGAAATTAATTGCTCCGAGAAGAACCAATATCTTTGTAAAAATACAATTATCAAACCTACATTAATTAGCGATTAATTTCCACGTGAAGAAATAGTTCGATTCTCCCATGTGTTTCATGTTTCTGTCCCGCGATCATCACTAGGGGTGGCGATTCACCCCTTTAGGGGTGAGCAAAAAAATTGAAATTTGGTTTTTCCGCGAGCAAATAATTAGCAATAAATTCTTGCATATAATTCGTTGATGAACATTTACTTAATATACGTAGGGCCGAATCCAGTACCTTGAATTGGTCCATTATCAGGATATGTCCCGAAAAGTATATTAAAAATAAAAAAGAGAAATTCTAAACAGGCCCAAGCAACGTTTTGCTTCCCAGTTTATATTACGTACATTTTAATTTTTTTTTTTTAGGGACATATTTTTGTTTATCTCGTCTCCGGACGAGGCTCGAGTTCGGCGCCAGGAATTAGCCCGTTATTAGGATTTGCGCCGGAAGTTATATCTCTCTAGGATGGGGATGTAAATTTGCGGAAATGCCGAAAACACGGAAACCCGCTCGCACCCGCCGCGCATATCTAATGGTATTTTATGCACCCACGTGCTCGCCGTACATAAACTCGGGTCCCCGAGAGGCCACCATCTTTTTGAGTGGTTTCCCCTTTTCCGGAAAATCCCGTTCGTGCTTTCGCTGGTATCGGTCCTTTCGGCGTTTCCTCCCCTTTAGCGGGCTTCCGCCGAAAAGTGCTGTCGCCAGCTTTCCGCCTGTCGGTCTCATGTCGAGTGCGCGGCCTGCATTTTTTAAGAGACAGCGAATCAGACCTCCCCCAGGGAACGGCTTAAACGACTCTTTCGATCCTACTCTCGAAGATTTACTCAAAGCGGATGGGAAGTCTCGGGAAGTTCATGGGAACGGATATGAAAATCAACGCTCCAAATGTACGCCATCGTTCGTGTATTTAGGGGGAGTAAATACTGATTGGGTAATGTGATAACGTGATTTACTCATTTTTTTTATCTATTGCTCGGTTCATTAAGTAAATTACCTGTTTTATTAGTTTACTGATATTTCCGGACCTGGATGAAATTTATGAATTTCATCGAGCTCGTCTCTCCTAGGAATGTTCATTATCGCTCGTATACTTTAAGACAGTCTCTATTCGCTCTATTAGACAGCTTTAACATATTGGATAACCTTGTTTAATTATTGGTTAATTTATTAAGTAATTTATTAGCCCGTTTTCTGGTTTACTAATTCGTCGTGGGAAGTCTCGGGAAGTTCATGGAAACGGATATGAAAATCAACGCTCCAAATGTACGCCACCGTTCGTGTATTTAGGGGGAGTAATTACTGATTGGGTAATGTGATAACGTGATTTACTCATTTTTTTTATCTATTGCTCGGTTCATTAAGTAAATTACCTGTTTTATTAGTTTACTGATATTTCCGGACCTGAGTTCACCTGGATGAAATTTATGAATATCATCGGACTCGTTTTTCCTAGGAATATTCATTATCGCTCGTATACTTTAAGACAGTCCCTATTCGCTGTATTAGACAGCTTTAACATATTTGATAACCTTGCTTAATTATTGGTTAATTTATTAAGTAATTTATTAGCCCATTTTCTGATTTACTAATTCGTCGTGACGATGGTCAGAAAAAAGGAGTTCATTGTACCTGAGAAATATTTTCTTAATTTCAATTGTTTGGCTCGAATGAATGGCCATTATTCCGGGCAAATGTTGCGTCCAATTAATTCCAGTTTATTCGAGGGAAATAATTAATCTTGGAATTAACAAAATATTTCCGCGGTACTTTTCCAGGATATATTTCTTTGGTTTAATGAAATTATCATTCGGGTTTCCCAAGCAGCATCCTGCTCCAAGCTTTCTCCATTATTTCCCGAGGATTGTTAATGCATTTTTAAGGAGGAGCTTTGATTTTAGAATTTCTCCTTGCACCAAGTAGACGCACCTGAGCTTCCACGTTACCCCGTGATTACCGCGGCCAGTACCTAGTGCACCCCTTAGGGAGCTTTTCGCGTGCACGCGGAGTAATCCGCGTTTTAATCGGCTTATAGGCAGCTTACAACGATATCGGGTATTTGAATATTTTCTCTCTCCCATCCCGAGGCTTTGCGGGCTTTTCCTCGATTCTCCCCCTTCTCGGGCTTCTTCGTCCCTTAGGTGTAAGCTCGCCCGTAAGTGCGGAAATTGCGGATGGCAATTGAACGTGTCTTCGACCAGGGGATAATTCCACTCCTGGTTAAGGTGAAGTGAAACACGTCGAGGAACTTGATCGACGTCGATAAAGAAGATTTTTCTAAATGCCTACGTTCCCGACGTTGGTTTTTATATCGACAGCTGGGTCGAATTATATTGGGTATTGCACCAAATGGCATACTCCACCTGTCGTTTTCGTACAATAATTATAAAGAAATCGAAGTAAAACTCCAGAAATCCTCTGGATTCATGCTTTCTGAGGCCCTAATTGACTGCGGAGGGACCCCCTGCGCCATCTGTGATTTCCAGGTCAATTAAATTTTCACTCCGAGACCTCGTATTACCATCGTTTTAGCATAGAAGCGCATACAACACTTTTTTTGCCTTTATCCCGTTAAAATGCGAGTTTATCGATTACCAGAGTGTTCTAAATTCTCGTAAAATTGTCCTGACCCTTTCGTTTCTCATATCAGAGCCTTCGATAATTGTATATCGATCTAAATATCAGAGCTCGACGCCATTTTGGTTCTGGTCTGGGCTGACTTAAAAAATGTTTTTAAAAAATCCAAATTTTCAATGTGTCAGGACAATTCTTAGATGATTAGGAGTGATGTGTCAAAGTTTCGGACAGTTTGGTCTAATACCCTTAAAAAAAAGTGTTGTATTCGAATCGACTGATTTGAAAGGGGTTTCACTTCACCTTAATGCATACTTGAGCCATACCGGTGCATGTGCAATTACCAGAGCGATGTGCATACACGAGATGCATCTATCGACTCGCGCCGAAAATTCTGGTTATTCCACAAATATAAAAATTTCTTCCTTGCAGGGAATTTAATATATATAAAAAAAAACTGCACCCTGCTATTAGGGGAGAATTGCCTAATTTCTATTTAAAGGTTAAATACACCTGAATGGCAAGAATCCTGAATAATGGATGCACTTTTCGTTGCAAAAAATGAATCGATGAATAGCCGCAGAAATTTTAATATCAATTTTTGGAACAATACGTAAGAAGTGGATGAAGTTGTGTCTTTTAATACGTGTCATTTTTGTTCGTCGTGGGTAGAGTCAAGTACCTAATTATCCTGGAAGTGCGAAGTTGGGGCACTTCAAGTACACTCTTGGCCTCGTTAAGCTCTATTAGCCACTTCTGGGTAGTACACCCTTGGAATGCGCGATTAAAATAGTTTCGTAATTTAGCTGCGATTTCCCCGATAATGGGGGATAATTTCCACGACTCTCGAGACAGGAGACGGTGGGATAAATGTTGGAATCTTTTTTTTTTTCTAAAAATGTGTCCGATGATCGGCGATGCACTTCTCGAAGAGGTGCACATGGTGCCCGATAATCGGCCCATAAAGTATGATTGCCCTCGGGAAAATCGGAAAAAGTTGGACCTAACTCCCCTAACACATATCTCGGTCCAAGTGAAGTGCTCTCATTGTAAATACCAAGTTTGAGGACATACTTCAGTTTCTAAGTTGCACTTTTACGTGCACCGACTAAGGAAACTGGCCTCATAATTCCCGGTTAGGATTTATTAAATAATAAAAGACTAAAGGAGAATTAAAAGTCAGAGCCGAAAGTAATGCCGAAACCCACCTGATAATTTCACTAGACGAGAAATATCCGATATCTAATTTACCAAAATTCTTATTATCTCCTCGGGGTTAATTTGAATATTCCTGGAAATTCGGAGAAACAATGTTTCGGGATAATCGGAATTTTCGGCGGGAACTCTTGCTCGGGATCGAACAAACTTTCAATTAATTAACATTCTGGCATGTGGTGAAAATGTTTCTCCGTTGTATTTTCCGTACTTACACGTAAACCAGCATCGGGTGTTTCGTCGATCCCGATATATCGATATTTGGAGGCAGCAAAAGTCGAACCTGGGCCTCGAATCCACCGTCCACTTTAACGGCGAATCTTTTCACCTTCGGCTGGGACTTTTGGGCGATCAGATCCGCCACTTGTTGATTGTCCTCCCAGGTGAACAGCTTCGTGTTGTTCTGCGAAATTGAACCCGACGTGTTAGGGCTGTACTAAAACCGGGCCTTTAAAGAATCACGGATAATGGGGAGGAATAAATGTGTTTGCGACCGATTAATGTACCGGTCGTAAGGTCACCGAGATGCCTCGATTTTACTGTATTTCCCTTTACATATTTTACGGCGTTATTAAAACTTTAGTCGGCCCGCCAGACGCTCTTTAAATTTTCCAATATGGCGGCCGGCCGCGCGACGGTCCTCATTGAAATTGCGAATACGGTACTCTATCCATTAGCTATAAATGAGGCCGGCTGCGTCATTGCAGGAGATAAATTTTACCGAAAGCGAGCCACGCCTTTGTAGGAGGAAATTTTGTATGTTCCCACGGGGAAAAAATTCACATATCTATCGAGCCTCGAGTCTATTCTCGAATTATCCGAAGAATGGCCGAAATAAAAATGGCGCCCGCGGACGTTAACGCCGATTTTAGGGAGACACTTAATAAATAGGCACTGATAAAAATCGAGGGAAATTTACATACATTTTTACACATTTCATAATTTACGTTTCACTCAGAAAAACGTATAGTGGGAGAATTACAAATTAGAAAATGTACGAATACACCTAACATTGTATATTTACCGTATTGGTGCAATTCCACTTGAATTTAATGTAATCTTATGTTATAATTTTCCGTAATTCAAATCAAATGCTAATAAATAAGAAAGAGTGAGACACTTCGCGAAGTACGGGTAGGGCCTCTCTTTTCCGTAAATACCTCATTATTAATTATTATAAATAAGAAAGAGCGAGGCACTTCGCGAAGTACGGCTCTCTTTTCCGTGAATGTCGCAAAAAGATTTTCCGAGCGACACTTCGTAACCCTCCTGGAGGATGCCTCTACAATCTCCCTTAACCGCAAACGCGACAATGACAATTTCAGAGAGACACTTCGTGAGGTTCCTCGAGGACACGAGAAATGTCTCACCTTTGCGGTCGCCGTCAACCGCGACACTCGAGCAATTTAGCAAATGGACGTAGACGACGGGAACGGGGTACGTATCCCCATCCAAGGGAAGTTATACGTCCCCTCGCGATCGCGAGGGAAGAAAAAAAAAAGCCGGCAGACGGTTTATGATTCGACTCGTAAAACGTTACAGACTTACGCGACTGGGTTAATGGCACTTCCGGCTTTATTACGACGTTAGCCTCGCGCCTCGCGTTTTGCATGCCCTGGCTACACGTTTATAGTCGGCAATATCGACAGGGCCGTAAAACTTAACGCACCCCCCCGTTAAATTCCAAAAACTAATCTAAACAATTGACAATACCCTTTACGACGACGAAGCCTCCCCCGCCGCGACCCGCCATTGAAGCGCGAGCTCCGATAGCTGTCGTTCCCTGGGAAATTAACGATACCGCGGAAACTTGGTGGAAAAGTGGCTCTTTCAAGGAAACCAGGAGTATTCAAACTATTTATTTATGGGGGGAAAATTCTCTCAGATTTTTCCTTCGGATTAAAATCCCGCATTTACGATGATGCCTGGATTTAAATTATTTCGACTTTTAATGTGAGATTCCTTTTTTTTTTAAATACGTATTCGAGGGATTTGGAGGTGACTCTTTCAAGGAAACCAGGAGTATTCAAATTATTTATTTATGGGGGGAAAATTCTCTCAGACTTTTCCTTCGGATTAAAATCCAGCAATTACGATGATGCCTGGATTTAAATTATTTCGACTTTTAATGTGAGATTCCTTTTTTTTTTTTAAATACGTTTTCGAGGGATATGGAGGTGACTCTTCTAAGGAAACTAGGAGTATTCAAACAATTTATTTATGGGGGGAAAATTCTCTCAGACTTTTGCTTCGGATTAAAATCCAGCAATTACGATGATGCCTGGATTTAAATTATTTCGACTTTTAATGTGAGATTCCATTTTTTTTTAAATACGTTTTCGATGGATATGGAGGAGATTCTTCCAAGGAAACCAGGAGTATTCAAATTATTTATTTATGGGGGGAAAATTCTCTCAGATATTTCTTTCGGATTAAAGTCCCTCATTTACGATGATGCCTGGATTTAAATTATTTCGACTTTTAATGTGAGATTCCATTTTTTTTTTAAATACGTTTTCGAGGGATATGGAGGTGGGAAATAATACTGGGATTGTTTATTTCAGGATTAACAATTGTTTAATCAGCATTTCCCGATGAGATAGGAGCTCTCAGGGTGATTCCCCTCTAAATGGGGATATGAAATATTTGCAGTAAATGTTTCCGATTTTAATGTATGCATTTTAATATGTCTATGGGGAATATGAGGCAGGAATTATTCATTTAATGATCAGAGGATTTCCAATATTTCACTTGTTTGTGAAAAGGAGCTTTAGGGGGGGGGTCTCGATTTTATTGACAGAATTTTCCATGGATATTTTTATGCGTTGACGGAAAATCCACTGTTTCGTGCCTAAGCTCCCCGAAGTATGAGACCGAGCTTCCGGGGGTTGAAACCAGATTTAAAAGTTCGACCAGGGGTCTCTCGCAGCCGTATTAACGTAGTTTGAAACGGCCGTAATGATTTTCCCGGACAACTCAGGGCTCTCCGAACTAATTTATGAATCGTAAAATCCCTCGGACTTGAATCAGGCAGCGGAGGAACTTTATTTTTTTAAAAAGGAATTAAAACTTGCGAGTTAAGCGCGGGGTGGGAAATCCCGAAGGGTAGGTTTTGAAAATCAACCGCGTTGATAAGACTACAAGCGGGGCGTTAAAAATGACTTAAAAATTCCTTTCCATTCATCATTTATGCTTGGCAAATTTGGCCGTGTTAAGGTGAAGTGAAACACGTCGAGGAACTTGATCGACGTCGATAAAGAAGATTTTTCTAAATGCCTACGTTCCCGACGTTGGTTTTTATATCGNTCTGGAATGAGTTAAAAAATTTTGTTGAAAAATCCAAATTTTCAATGTGTCAGGACAATTCTTAGATGATCAGGAGTGATGTGTCAAAGTTTCGGACAGTTTGGTCCAATACCCTTAAAAAAAAGTGTTGTATTCGAATCGACTGATTTGAAGGGTGTTTCACTTCACCTTAAGATTAAAACCGGCGCATTAAATAATTAATCGCACATTGTGTTGCTTGTTTAATTTATCAGGTGGAAAAAAGGCAAACGTCGAATCGTCGGTGGCACATGTTGCAGCGTCCGAAATTCCCCTGCGGGGGGTAAACGGCAAATCCACCCTCAGCAGGTGTTTAAGCCTTTATGGAGACCGTTTACCGGCTTTCGGGGCATTTCTGCACGAAATATCGCGGATTTCTCGCAAATATCGGGATAACGATACGGTCAGGGCCGGAAGCCGCGCGACCTGGGTCAACATGTGCGCAGACATCTGAATTTAATGCGACACGTTTTTCACGTGTAACACCTGTTACACCCGCAACCACCACGGCGTTTCCGTATAATCAGCACCCCTGGGTCAAAAGCGAAGCTTAACGGAGCCGAATCGGCCTCTGCAAATTTCATCCCCCGAGAACGAATTGCGCTGGCCAAGGCAGACCGCACCTCGGTCAGGACTAGTTTTATTTTTTCCCCATTTCCGTACTTTTCTTAAAAAGAGAGCTTTAAAGCTCCCGGAAACGGGAAGCGTCCCCTCGACGATCGACTTTAACTTTACCGATTGCGCCTCGCGGGAATACAAGGGAAGGAATTATTTACTGTTTTATTTTAGGAATTATGGAATTTTTAATATTAATAAATTTTCGAAGGTATGGGTCGAAACCAATGGAATTTAGAAAAAGGAACCTTCGGCGCCGCACGAATAATCTCTTTTCATTAATACAATAATAATTACTCACGGAGGGTAATGGGAATTATTGGGACAGTTTTCCTTTTTGAGATTTGCCTGACAATTTTGAATTCGGTAGCTTTGTCATCAGGGTGCATATCTGGCCGCGGTGCATCGTTTGCAGGAATAATCTATTTTCATTAATATTATTCACGGAGTGTAATGGAAATTATTGGTACAGCTTTCCTTTTTGAGAATTGCCTGACAATTTTGAATTCGGTCGCTTTTGTCATCTGGGTGCATCTCTGGCCACGGTGCATCGCTTGCACGGATAATCTATTTTCATTAATATTACTCACGGAGTGTAATGGAAATTATTGGTACGGCTTTCCTTTTTGAGATTTGCCTGACAATTTTGAATTCGGTCGCTTTGTCATCAGGGTGCATCGTTGCACGGATAATCTATTTCAATTAATATTACTGACGGAGTGTAATGGGAATTATTGGTACAGCTTTCCTTTTTGAGATTTGCCTGACAATTTTGAATTCGGTAGCTTTTGTCATCAGGGTGCATATCTGGCTGCAGTGCATCGCTTGCACGGATAATCTATTTTCATTAATATCATTCACGGAGTGTAATGGAAATTATTGGTACGGCTTTTCTTTTTGAGAATTGCCTGATAATTTTGAATTCGGTCGCTTTGTCATCTGGGTGCATCTCTGGCCGCGGTGCATCGCTTGCACGAATAATTTATTTTTATTAATATTACTCACGGCGTGTAATGGAAATTATTGGTAGGGCTTTCCTTTTTGAGATTTGCCTGACAATTTTGAATTCGGTCGCTTTGTCATCAGGGTGCATCGCTTGCACGGATAATCTATTTTTATTAATATTACTCTCTGCGTGTAATGGAAATTATTGGTACAGCTTTCCTTTTTGAGATTTGCCTGACAATTTTGAATTCGGTAGCTTTTGTCATCAGGGTGCATCTCTGGCCGCGGTGCATCGCTTGCACGAATAATTTATTTTTATTAATATTACTCACGGAGTGTAATGGAAATTATTGGTACAGTTTTCCTTTTTGAGAATTGCTTGACAATTTTGAATTTGGTAGCTTTTGTCATCAGGGTGCATATCTGGCCGCCGTGCATCGCATTCGCACCCCCGAGTGGTTTCGATTCGCAGATAGGTAGAATTTACGTGCGCATCGTTGCGTTGCTCTTAATCGCAGTCGGGGTTGCAAATTCGGAGATGTACATCGCGTTGTACACTACCGGCCATAATTAGCGAGCAGGAGTTACGAGACATTCGCGGGGAATAAACCCGCCAGGGTTGAAAGTTGGGGTCGCGAATTCGCGGAGGGCGAAAACCCCGAGTGGCACGATTCGATTCAAGACGGACGAGGGGGGCGTAATTTAGTCCGATTAAAATCTGCTAATTACCCGTCCCGGCCATAATAACGGAAACGAGGTCGTCAAAGGATCTCCCGTCTATTTGCGAGCTAAGTGGAATTATTACGAGACTTTGGAAATCCGGAAGATGGCCGCGATTCGAATCGGCCCCTGGAAATTGCCAGGAAGTGCAGAAACGATTACAGTTCCTCCCCAAAAAAAAAAAAAATAGGCCACCGCGATTACTCGCGAGCTCTTCATTAATTAATATCAGGGCTTATCGGCTCCAGCGCGCAGAATAAAAATATACCACGTAAATATTTTCATTCAAAGAATTACCTCAAATTCGAATCGACGTTTTTCCAAAATCCTGATTTTTCCGGATTCGAGGTAAATAATTCTTTCAATTGAAAATATATTTCTTTGGTTCGATGAATTTTTTTCTTCAGGAAAGACGAAATCAAGAATTTCACTTTATCACTCCAATTTCCTAGCCGTGAAAAATCCAACCCTTTGACGAGTTGATAACATTTCTGGGTCCAATTTTTTTTTATTAATCCCGATTTTTTATTCCGCGGAGGCGAAGCGGGATTTTTTTTTTTTCGAAAATTCCCTGGATGGGCAAAAAATACAGTAGACCTGAAAATACGATGCCAATGGCTGCTCGATGCATTTCAAATGGCATGCATATGCAGCAGCCGATACAGATTGGCAATATAATTAAGTTGAAAAATCGGTCGCAAATGTTGGGGTAGGTTACGTTTACGGTGCAGTTATTAGATAGTCAATTTTTGAGGAAACTATGTCACGCCTGTTATGCAGATCATCTTATGAATTTGATTAAAAAATCCGTTTCTGAGAGCATTAAATTAAAGTATGTAAAATATTAAGTGGCATAAAAATTTGCAATTTTATTCGGTTTGAAAATCGGTCGCGAATGTCGGGGTGCTCAAATGATAGGCAATTTTTTATAGAACTACGTCACGTCTACTCCTGTAATTTTATGAATTTGATAAAAAAAAAAATCTATAATTTTTGTATATTGAATTAAATTTAAAAAAAGGTCATTCCTCTGGATATTGAACGTGCAAGCATCGAAGCAATTTCGAGGGACTCTTTTTACTCCAGGAATACCTCTTCGATCCCTGGGAACAAAATTCCCAGTTATTTGTCATTATATCGAGCGATCGTTTTTTAGAAGCCGAATCCTTCCCGAGCATCGCGCCATATTGGACGATTAATTATACGAATGATTAATCACCAGTTGACGGCGTCATTGTTCCTCGCCTATTCCGCCATTCGTATCGATTCGTGAATGTTTCGTCAGTTTCTTTTCATCTCGGGAATATTTCCTCAAAAGTCAGGAAAAATGGGGAAAAAAATGTTCTTCGATACTATCAAAGGATTTCCCACGGCAATTAGGTATTTCCAAAATCTGACTATTTAGAAGGGGTTGGCAATTTTTTTTCGTTAGCAATCGAAACGTGTTCTGAGATCGGTCATTCATTTTGGATGAAATGATCGAATGAATTTTTTTACCGGACGAATTTTTCTTTTCGGCACGTTGGGAAATCTGCTCTGAGATAAAGCAGAGGTGTCAATGGACGGAGTCGGAAGATTTTATGAAAGGTCCTCGGGAAATTGCTCACAGTCCGACGTGCTCCCTATACGCGTCCTCTTTCTCTGTTTTATTTCCTACTGAAACTCCGGGCCTGAAACTAATTACCCCTACTAACCACCTGTGCCAAAGTGGGTGATAAAGGAGAAGTAGGATATTAAAATAGCTCTGGGATCTTCCGTTCCTTTTTTCGCCTCCCCGCCCTGTCTCGCAGACTGCACCAGGTCATTCGGAACTTTTTCCACTTTTCTCGAATTCTTCAAAGCTGCCTTCCATCCCGTCCGAAATAAAGCGTCTCCAAAGAAGAAGTACAATGTTAAAGCCTGCATCTTTGTGCCCTTTCCTCCGAACTCTCTTTTCCACTGATGAGGAGCGGTCTTTGAATTTTTTAATTTACCCAGGATTTCCCATTTCTCGAATTTCCTGCATAAAATGGATACCTTGTATCAAGTACTGCATGTTTTCGGACCCTCGACGAAATTCCTAAATTTCATACATTTCATATATTTTATTTAAAAAAGAAAAAAAAAAAACAGCGAATGAATTTATTACACTCTCGAAGGCACTAGTAAATTCGATAAAAAATAGATTACTCGATAAATTAACCACTAGGGAAATAAAAAAGGTATTGACCGCATTATTGCCGATGTTTGCAGGGAGGAGATATAAAATATATAAACCGTGGGATAAATAAATAATTATTTACCTCATTGTAGATCGAGATTTCCGGAACGCCGGGTCCAGCGCACGTCAGGACGAAGTACGAGTTGTCGAGGGAGAATTTTGCGGAATTGTATAAACAATAGGATCCGTCTGATTTGTTTTTAATGTAGCAGCTTAAGCATTCAGGTTTGCTGTCTGGATCCCCCAATGACAATCGGTATAAATGTTGCAATGCAGGGTCGTCTTCCGTCGTGGCCAAGTAATACCTGCAACATAAATAGAAAATAATTGAAAAAAAATGATTAAAAATTGTAATCAGGAGGAATTCGTAATCTGAATGATAGATCGTCACGTAAGAACCTCCTAGGGAATTTATAAGATATCCAAACTTAACAAGAAAAAAAAAGAAAAAAAAATGCATTTTCAGAGGGTGCATCCTCTGCAACCAAGTGCACTCTTCTGGAGCAATTCATTTTGTATGCAGTTGCATTTAGCATCCGTGTGGATTTTCTCAGGAGACACTTAGTCGTCTACAGGTAGTGGCAGTGAAAGGAAAAAAGTTATGCGACACCGTGGTAATTTCTGGTTATTTACGGGGGCGCGTGTCCGCGGCTTTATTAAAAAACTCTCGACCGAATGAATTCACGGGGGACCGAAAGGGGTTGGAAAGGGGAATAATAAAAAAAAATAGGAAAGGACCCTGTCGCATTCCCGCGAATCGTGAATTGCATTGAGATATGCACCGGGAAATGCACGGCAATATCGGATCACGCGTGCCGGTGCACGGGTGCATTACACGGGTGCATTGCGTGCGTGCCGACGTGCCGGGAAATAAAGTCCAGTCCGTCCGAAATCGCATGCGGAATGCCATAAGTATTATTTCAGGAAAATACCGCCGTGATTCCGGTCTGCCGATAATAAGTCAGCATGTCACATTGCACTTGCAATTGCGCACGGAGGAAGAAAAGAAAAAATTCGTTTAGGGGACTCTGGACATTTTTTTTCAGTATTATACAGTGTAATTGCGCGAGGAGACATTTTCTTTTTTAGTGCATCTAGAAGTGCAGGGTGGTTTCTCGTAAGGAACTTCCAACGATGTATATACAGCTGGAATTGCCACTTTAGCACAATTCAATAAAATTTGTTGATAAAGCTAGCATTGCCACAATAAAAAACAATTATTAAGTAAATGTTCATCGATTAATTATATACCAGAATTTATTGCTAATTAATTGCTCGCAGAAAAATCAAATGTCAATTTTTTTGCTCAGCATGGCCACATAAAAAATGGAAGAATCGAACTATTTCTTCACGTGGGATTTAATCGCTAATTAATGTAGGTTTGAAAATTCTATTTTTACGATGATATTGGTTCTTCTCGGAACAATTAATTAGCAATTAATTTCCACGTGAAGAAATCGTTCGATTCTCCCATGCATTCCATGTTTCGGTCCTGCGATCATCCCTAGGGGTGGCGATTCACCCCTTTAGGGGTGAGCAAAAAAATTGAAATTTGGTTTTTCTGCGAGCAATTAATTTGCAATAAATTCTCTTATACAATTCATTGAATAACATTTACTTAATAATTTTTTCTTTTCGTGGCAGTGCTAGCTTTATACAAAGCTGACATCGCCACTATTTTTCAGAAAAGTATAAGAGCAAATAATTTGTTTCTTGTTGCAATAAATTAGCAACAAATTTTATTGAATTGTGCTAAACTGGCAATTTCAGCTTTATATATATCTTCCGTTTAATTCGCTTGCGGTTTTAGAGAAATATGATATGTATGGCAGTTATGCATTATCAGGGATATGATTTCACGATTGCATCGAGTGCAAGTTGCATATCGACGTATTTGTCAGAGAGTACTAGTCATCAGAAAGTGCATCACAAGTGAATTCACAGACTCGAAATTTGATATATAATTATCAATGGAAAGGTGGAGAAATAAATTAATCCGCGAAGTATCACCAGATGTATGCATAGAATGCAGGTTGCATATCGGTATCTATACAAATCAGAGAATTTCCTTGCGCATGCATCGCAAAGTGCATTTCAGCCCGATCCGGGGCTTCGGAAATCGACGTTTAATCCAGGCACGATCTCACGGTCGTACTAAACCGACCTTAGGTACACAGCATAGGTTACTTAGTCGGGTCGCGCCCTCCCGGTGCATCCGCATCTCCGGATGCAGTTGCACTTCCGGGCGCATCGCGACGTTCCCCGACGAGGCGCGTCATCCGAATTATGCCCAGGAAATTAGAGACGCGCATTGCTGGAGGGCCGGAGTTTCGGCGAAGTTTCGGCTACGGGGTTAAGTCGTCGGATGCACCCCGAGATGCATTCTTCCTCGACAAGAAGAAGACGGCGTAAACGACGTCTCAGCGGGGCGAAGTTTCCTCGGCTCCGAAACAAGGGCTGGAAATTCTGGCAGGGCCAAACAAACGAATTCATCCCCGGAGTTAAACCGGCGTAACGAGTTGTTTTGTCAGGTTGACGTTAAAAAATCCACACCCCGGATTTGAATTCCACCCCCGCGCCATTGTTCAAATCGTTACGGCCTTTCGGAGCGGCGCGCGTTAAGGTGAAGTGAAACACGTCGAGGAACTTGATCAACGTCGATAAAGAAGATTCTTCTAAATGCCTACGTTCCCGACGTTGGTTTTTATATCGACAGCTGGGTCGAATTGTATTGTGTATTGTACCAAATGGCATATTCCACCTGTCGTTTTCGTACAATAATTATCAGGAATTCGAAGTAAAACTCCAGAAATCCTCTGGATTCGTGCCTTCTGGGGCCCTAATTGACTGCGGAGGGACCCCCTGCGCCATCTGTGATTTCCAGGTCAATTAAATTTTCACTCCGAGACCTCGTAATAATTGCATTGCGTTATCAATGACGAGTACATGTGCGTATATTTGCCGGTAGATGGGTACACGCGTGTACATTTACCGGGTTCGGGGTGGGGGATGCAAATTCAGGGAATAAGAGTACCGATTCATTACCGTCAAAAAGCGTATAGATGAATTTCACTTTATCGAGGCCGATTAAATTTCTCAGCGCCGTTCATATCCTCTTAATAATTGCATTGCGTTATCAATGACGAGTACACGCGTGTATATTTACCGGGTTCGGGGTGGGGGATGCAAATTCAGGGAATAAGAGTACCGATTCATTACCGTCAAAAAGCGTATAGATGAATTTCACTTTATCGAGGCCGATTAAATTTCTCAGCGCCGTTCATATCCTCTTAATAATTGCATTGCGTTATCAATGACGAGTACATGTGTGTATATTTACCGGGTTCGGGGTGGGGTATGCAAATTCAGGGAATAAGAGGACTAGAGCCAGCCACCCGGGGGAGGGGTAATACCGGAGGGGTGCACCGGAGAGGCGGAAGTGGTGCTACGTAATTCAATATCTTACGAGATAATGGGTTTGGCGGATGAAGTGCCGAGGCAGGAAGAGAGGAAACGAAGTGGGCCCTGAAGTGGAAGCCCCACTTCCCGAAGAATCGACTCGGAGACCCGAGTCGAGTCGGGCCCAGGAATGAATTAAATCGAGCATCGAGCCCAAAATGGCGTTTCGAGGATCCCGTTGTGCCCCAGTTCTCCAAATTGTTCACCCGGGGAACCGGCCACGGGGAATTAACCCGGGCCAGAAGTTGTGGGAGATCCGCGAGGCGAACAACGGTGGGAATTAAATGCCTCTCGACAATGACTGCATACTGTGCGAAAAGAAATTAAAAAAAAAAGGTATTTCAGGGAACGATGCGCTAGGAAGGGGGGGGAATCGCGGAAAAGGGGGTGAAACGACATGGGGATTAAATACCTCATGACATGGTATGTACGAGGGAAAGAAATTATTAAATGTTATGAATGGTGGGAAATAATATGCTGGAAAGGCGGGGAAAGGGACGAAGAGGTGGAAATTAAATGCTTCGGGAAATCTAATGTCCGGAGGTAAGGAGAGAATATGTGAAAAAGCGATTCGGAATTAAGTGGATCATGAAATGTAAGATCAGAAATTCGGGAAATTCTGTACTTGGAAGGCAGCGTTTCGGGACCTGGAGAAAGCGATGAAGCAGGGATGAAACGGAAGTTGAAACGTAAGATCAGAAATTCGGAAAATTCTGTATTTGGAAGACAACGTTTCGGGACTTGGAGAAAGAGATGAAGCGGGGATGAAACGGAATTTGAAACGTAGGATCAGAAATTCGGGAAATTCTGTATTTGGAAGGCAGCGTTTCGGGACCTGGAGAAAGAGATGAAGCAGGGATGAAACGGAATCATGAAATGTAAGGTCAGAAATTCGGGAAATTCTGTATTTACAGGACAACGTTTCAGGACCTGGAGAAAGAGATGAAGCAGGGATGAAACGGAATTTGAAACGTAAGATCAGAAATTCTGAAAATTCTGTATTTGGAAGACAACGTTTCGGGACCTGGAGAAAGAGATGAAGCATGAATGAAACGTAATTTGAAACGTAAGATCAGAAAGAACGAGGGGATTTCCCAGGATCCGGAGGGAATTAACCGGAGCACCCTGTTAATTTTCACCCAGTGCATCCATCTTGAAGCAAGCAGCCCGATTGGCCATTTCCGGGGGTTTCGGAGACCGGACTTCCTGCCGAACCGGAACGAAGACCGATCGGCCGTTGCAGAACCGGAACTAATTGCAACTTGTTACAAGCCGAAAGATTTCGCGCCGAATGAAAAAGGAAGGACTCGGAAAAGGATCGAACGGGATGGCATTCCACTCTACTGCAGTACCCAGTCGCGGGTTTAATTCCGAAATCGATTAAATTCCGAAATTGCGGAAAGGGCCGATTCACGTTACGCCCGAAAATGCACGACGAGAGAGAAAAAGAGGCGCAAAGAGACAATGCAGAAGTAATTTCTGGGTTGAAAATGAAAAAAAGAGAACTCCACCGCCCGGATGGATGAGCGCTCCGAGGCGAAATCGAATTTTCAAATATGCAAATTAGGAGACTCTACAGAGGGTGGTTTTCCGAAATTCTGAAGAGTTCATCTCGAGGCGTGTCTCGATAAGGCGTAAAGGGGTAGAGAATTGATAAGGGATGATTTTTACGATTCTCGACAAAATTCCCGGGTTTCCGGACGGCGGTTTAATTCCGAAAACCGATTAAATTCCGAAATTGCTGAAAGGGAGGCACGCGAAAATGGTGGAACATCGAATGCGAGGGAACGGCACAAAGAGACAATGCGGCAGTGATTGATTTCAGGGTTAAAAAAGAAAAGAGGGA